GGAGTTCAGACGTGTGCTCTTCCGATCTTATTTTTACACATTTTATCTGTGTTTTACACAGTTAAATGCGTATTTTTTACATGCTTAACACATATTATTGTAAAATTAAGCGTGTAAAAAATATGCATTTAATATAAAACAGCATAAAATGTGTAAAAATATAGCACGCGTATAAATGCGTAAGAAGTGACTACAGTACATACACTTGGATTTGCAGTGATGCCGTATCACATGCTTCTTTATTCATTATCGATGTTGGCTAAAAGGCTCCGCGTCACTGCCAAAGGATTGGAGGCCTCGAGGGGTGCCCGTCGCGCATCTTCACGAGCACAGAGCCGCGGTGAATAGACTGGTTTCGATACCGGATACCAACCTGTTCGCGAGTAGTTCCTCCGACGGATGCATCAAGATTTGGGACGCCAGTAAGATGGAGGGACGAAATATCGCTAATCGTTCTAGGTACTGGTTTTCCTTTCCAGAACAATTATACATTGAATTTTATATGTATTTTTTTCATTATACATTCTTTTAATTTATTTAAAATGTAATAAAAAATAATGTAATAATATGCATAATAAAGAATAAATAATTTATCTTTTTTTTTTTTTTAAGCTTAAAGATTCGAGTTACTAATAATGCAGTACTCATTAATGTTGTGCTTCACAGGCATGCGTACATGCACAGAGGAGGCCCGCTGGTTGGCTTAACTGTATGCGACCAAGGGCAATCTTTAGCGAGCTCGGCGAGCACGTCCGGAACGGTATTCGTACTTCGGATCGAGCCAAACTCTAGTAAAATGAGCCTGATCGGCACTCGTCAATTGGATATTCAGGTGATTAGAAGATTTCGGCAATAATATCAAAAATTCGACGCGCAGAAGTTCTAAGGAAGACGTTGCTCGCGATTGATTTAACAGGAGGAAGGACCTGCTGTCGATCTTCAGTATCTAGATTCCGGCTCGCAATCGGTTCTTGTGTACGCCTCGTTGTACGGATTTCTGGTAGGTTGGGACCTACGATGTCCCGGCACAACGTGGCGCTTGGAAAACGACTTGAAGCACGGAGTCATCACGTCGTTTTGCGTGAACAGTCATCAGCAGTGGCTGACCCTCGGCACGAGCTCCGGTATCCACACCTGCTGGGACTTGAGGTTTCAACTGCCGATAACGAGCATCAAGCATCCGACAGGTAGATCTCGCCTATTTTATTTTCCATTGCTCTCTAAATCTGAATCAGTGCATAGTCACCGATTATCATGGTTATTCATTGAATGCATCAGTCCCAAGTATTTCACTGATAATCAGTGAAATTATAGTTAATATTAATAGTTTTAGTTATAGATTATATTATTAAAATTATAGTTATTTACAAGTACTGACTCAATCAGTGATTTTTCAATACTTTTCCACCGATTCAGATTTAGAGAGTGCGCTTGATATACTGATTTAGCTTGAAATGATTCATGTCATTGTTCTAACGATACCGTTTCACCGTTTCTGATGCTATTCATCGTTTTCCCCCACAGGCGCCAGAGTGCGAAAGGTGATAACGCATCCGACGGAGCACTCGTGGATAATCTCGGCGGTGCAGGGCAACAACGAGATCTCCATGTGGAACCTGGAGACCGACCAGCGACAGATGGTTCTGTGGGCATCGAACGCCCCGCCGTTGAGCCGCACTCAAACCGGTCACACCGTGTGTGCCATGTACGCCGGATGCATCGACTGCTCGGGCTTCCTCCTGGCCGGCGGCACCGACATGCGACTACGCTTCTGGGACTTAAACAGACCCACCGCGTCCTACGTCGCCCTGCCCGCCGCTAACGATGTCCTCACTCCAAATTCACTGGCATACGAGTCAGTAAACGACCGAATTTAAAATTAATCACTCAATATACATATATATTTGGCACGTTCTTGCGTAACGCACGATATCGCTTCTCTGTTTACAGTTTACGTTTGATAGACGGAACGGACGTTGTGCAGGAGATATTGGTGGACGACGACTCCAATCCGCTGTCCGGAAGTGACGCGAGAGGACGAAACACGGAGGAGAGCGGCCCCGAGACTCCACCCTCCGGTCAACACGACACGATCTCCGCCGTGGCCATGTCGAACACGTGCATTCTCACCGGCAGCACGGACGGCCTGATACAAGTCTGGAAATGATTGTTCTTCTCGCTCCCAAATTCGATTCCAAAGTACCTCGCACGTGCGACAAAAGATTTTACCAGTGCATTGCGGAATTTCTCCCCGGTAATAACGAAACCATTGTGATCCAAGTAAGGAATAAGTTATTCTAGAATTGTTCAGGTAAATTGTCCAGCGATGCCGGACCGTAGTATAATTTATTTAAGGGCAGTCGCGCGGAAGAAGTGTGATGGCGACACAATTATGATACTACAATACCCCGTTTTCGCAAAAAAAATTACCATATTTTTTTTAACAATTTCGCAATTGTTATCATTGATGACAGGTCTTGTTGGAAGTTACGGTAGTATCATACGCATCTCACTGTGCAAAAGAAAAGTTAACGCTACAAATCAAATTTATTTTCATTTATATAATTTAAACAAAAATTGAAAGTTCTATTTCTAAATATATAATTTTATAGATTAACTGTATAAATACAATTCTCTCAATTATATTTAAATTTGAGCTGTATTTATATTGTTCAATTTGCTTAGATAATGTGTTAAGATGGCTCTTTTCGCTTTCTTAAACTACAAGCATCAACGTGCACACAATACCGCCGTGCTGTATCGAATTCTGTGATCCTGAACTGTACATAGAGTATGTAATATACTTGATATTTAAGACTACCTGATTACAATTACGCAGTGGGGGCGTGCATTTAAAAAAAAAAAACTTGAATGTAAATTTGCTTATAATGTAACGTATATATAAAAAATGTACATATATAATGTACATAACTTATTTTTATACGTAAGAAAAGAGAAAAAGAAAGAGAGAGAAAGAAAACTATATTAGGGAGTATTATTGATGTATTAGGTAGATGTGATGGGCTTAGAATGTCGATTGATGTTACACAGATGACAGATCGATAGATAGGCCTTTGAAGTAACTGTATCTAAGTTAGCAGATATTTAGCGGGTCCGTACATGCACTAGAAATTTAACGCTGAAAGATATAATAAAAGTTGTACTGACATGAAGTGACTGCATGATGGAACAAGTCTCACGAATGTCCGAGAAAGTAATCTTCATTTTTTACAGCTTTTAATTCATTAAATTTATTTTTTTCGATTCTGATACAAAGTTACTTTCTGCGATAAGTTTCACAATTTCATCTTTTTGTTTTGTTTTTAAATTGAACAGGTGCGAATACGGACCGAGAAGCGAGGAGTAATAAAAGTTCGCGTACAAAAAGGTGATGTGGTTCGCGGACGATTATCTCCTCGCTTCGTACTTTACATGGTGAACGCGTACCGTAAGTAGCTATGTAATCACGAATATTTATGTATACTAGTTTGTCACACACGCGGACACATACGTACACGTAACCACATTGACTGAAAAATACTCTTAACCCGGTGGACATATACTGTCTACGTTGTTACAATAAATTCATATTTTTAACGCACGACACGTTTCTCGCTTGCGTTTGGCACGACAGATCGGAAAATCCGACCGGAAGTTTTTTTTCCTTTACCACGGACAGACGGGTGCGGCGGGATAAGGCGCGCGTCCCGGGTACGCGTACGCGTCCGGGTTTATGGTCCTGCATATCTGCTTCCAGCGCTCCTTACCACCTCTGCTCTGGCGATACGGGCCGTTTGCATAGTACCCGGTATTTCGATTGTCGTACGAGGACTGCTGAGGGAACCACAGATCGAGCCAAGGCATACAGAGAGCAGAACTGACCAGCAGTAACAGCAGAATGATTAGCTTCATGTTAATTGGATCTCCTGATAATTTCGGTCATAATCTTGTAACAATCTTCTTGCGATCTGGAAGGAGAAAGATTAATTTCTTTTTTTGTGAGTATTTTAGACACTTGTTTTTAAATTTTATCATCCAGTTTTGCATTATATTCGCGTCTAACGTTGAATTTTGATTTTCAATCTGAAGTACAAAAGATGTTCAAAATTAGATTTGAAAGATTAGTACGTTTTTAATCATTTTTTGAATTCTTGGTATTTTTATGAAGATATAATATATATATAATATAATATAAGTCTATATTTTTGAAATAATTTATTAATTTAGTTTTAAAGTAAATTTCTATTGAAGCAGAGTTTTATTAAAATCATTTAAGAAAAGCAAGATTTTGCCGTTTATTTATAATCTTTTGAGATTTACTTGATTCTCTTAATTCATCTTTCATTGATTTACTTAATTCACTTTGTCCCATCTTCATTGCAATTGAAATGATTATTAATTATGTAATCGAAGTAATTGAAAAGATTATTATTTTTCTTACATCACTCAGTTTCCCGTGATCTCTCTGAGATATCCGTGATAATACAGAATCTGTGGTAGCCACCAAACGAATATCCTGCAAATAAAGAATAAAACTTCCATGAACGGTCCTACTGCGGTTAACGCTCGCTGATTTTACCACTTCTGACAGGCGTCGCGATGGACATAGTAATGCGCTAAAGTGAATAAAAACAGGGACAACGCGCGTTCACGCACCAAAAAACCGTATAATGAAAACGTCGTTGCGTCACGTGCTCAATGTTTTCTTATCGCGACTTTCACACTTTCTGAGCTATGAGACGATGCGACGTCTTTCCTAGATACTCTAATATCTCGCTATACTGTATTGCTATTCATTTGAATCTGTTCGCCAACTATGCGCTATGCAGGAAGATGATTGAGCACCTTTGCAAAATAATTGATACCAGAGCGTGGATGTAATAATTGACGTCCGCCTAATCGCAAGCCACTGTAACAAGTGCACTACCGCAATGGAGAGATGCTGGATGCTTACCGCTGTTTTATATACCGCTGGCCTACCGCCCTACCGCTCAGAAAAATGCGCGGTTGGCGTTGTCTTTTGACGAATGATCTTGACTCGGGATCTCTGATTGCGCACGTGTTCAATCGGCTTTAGTAAGAATATATACAGTGATTTTTCATAATCATATATAAATTACAGACAGGAAGCATAAAATGACACAAAAGTCTACGGCAGAGTCATTTATATTTATAAATCGACATGTAATTCTATTAGAATCACAATCGTATCATTAATTAAATAGTTCAGAATTATTTAATTCTATTGAATCGCAGGTAGATTCAATCATTGGTTTCTTCAATCTTAATCTGCAATCGTAAATTTTCATGTCTGACTTCTTCCTTTGATAGAATCCTATATCTGAAAGATATTAAGCACATTGAATTTATGCATCGAGACACGCGATCTGTCTTACAGTATTTTGCATTACAGATTCCCAGGTTTCCGATTTACATTCATGAAGCTTAGATCGAAGCTTGGATCACGCGGGATGTGGACTCCAGATCCTTCATTGTTTTCCCCGTGACGAGATTGCGATCGAGCCGCCGTGAGAGATTTCATATTCCAGCGAGTTCCGCCTCTTCACGATTATTTCCTCGGACTTAGGATTCCGCACGTGCTGACAAAATGACGCACCCGCTTGGGCGCTTTTGAACTTGGGGGAAGGCCTCTTCTCACTGTCTTGGCCGTTGTTTACACGCGATTTATATGCAACATTTGTTCGCTCCCTTGCTCGCGTATTCCGCGCACGCAATATCGTTTGCGCGTACCGGGGAATATAAGGGAGATGTATGAGATACTCGATACCATCATAATTGCTCATTTGTCCGGTATGCCGCTGCGTCCTATGATAATAATGACGTTTTTTCACGTGATCCTCCTTGATGAAGCGATTGAAGGAAGAAAAAGGAAAGGAAAAACCCCGGGTGCGCTCTAGTAATCCGATCGCTCGGAGGACGTGCAGAAGCGGCTGATTGCAACGCGATCGCCATCAGATCGGATCGCGTATATATACACGGTTCCTCGGGATTAGCATTCGATGTTTAATTCATGGATCGCGCTTTCTGCCGCGCGCCGGGCGTAGGCGTATCCGCGAAATCCGGATAGGCGCTCTGCATGAAATAATGATTTTGCATACGTAACTCGCCCGCCCGCCGGCACGTGTGCTTGCATGTCGTTGCGTGCATTCGATCATGAAAGTGCACCGCATCGGGTGAATTTCGCGACGCGCGTTTTTCCTCGAGAATTGCGAAAAGGATCGCGTGACCCACATTATAATGTTACTTACGCGGCCCGCACGGGCCGATCCGCGCTGCTACATATTCGCGATATATTCCATCCTCGCGTCCGGCTCTTCCGCGCTGGCGCCGAACTTTATTGGGAGTTGCTCTACATCCGAATATCGTGTCAAGGACGCCGTTCGCGCCGATATACCGAAGACAGTAGTCGGATCGTCTTATCGGCAAACTTGACACACTTCGCGGCACACTTTCCGCGAAACCGATCGCGCGGACCAAATCGCAAGTTGCCCTTTGACCCCTTGAGTACTTCCCCGAGATATGTTGCTTTAAATATTTTTCTAGAGAAAAAAAATGCTTGTTATCCCAATGACGGAATCTGCATATTACTTCTTATTATTTACCATATTATCTAATTGTAAACTATATTTTGTTGTTACAATCGCGGGCAAAAACGCGATGCATGAATTAAACATCGAATTTACTTGACGACAAAGATTCAAGTATAAAGAAAATTTCAAGCTAAATTTGAGAAAAATGATAATCATTAATTATAATTGTTATTTTAATTTATTTTTAAATTATTTCAATGATGCGATCGATATGAGTAGTATATAATATATATAGTAATCCGCTGTTTTTTTTTTCTTTCAGCTCGTAATCCCGCTTAGAGGGAAAGATAATTTACCTCCCGCAATTAACACCAATCCACACGTCGGTGCAAATTAGCCCCTGTAGTGGATACAACATTTTTTTCCCGTTCGTTATTCGTCATCTTACATGAAGTCTTTCTCAACCTCGTTTACACTGCACGCAACTTCTTACAGGAAACCGCGACCACGAGACACTGGCAATAAATTCTTTAATCACGTAATACCGGATTGTACGTCACGTAAAAAAAAACTGGGTTATACGTAAACAAATAACTCAGGTGTTGCCTTGAGGGAAATCATTGGTAGCTTGATAGGCTTATATACCGAATAACTTGACTCGGTAAATTACGCAGACAACAAGGTCGATCCACTTCGCGCAACTGCACCTTATAACTGTCACCTTACACTTGATTCTTCCGTCAGAGGATGAACCATCGAATTACGGGCCATCGAGTAAACGGCTCGATTTACTCTGCCGATTTCCTATTACCGTAATAGTCGGTTTGCAATCCACCCGGGACTATTAATAGCGTTTGGCAGTGAAAGTCTGTCTATTTTACACACAGATGCTCGCATAATGGACGAACGATTGTTTATCAGCTTAATTTCTCGAAATTTAATTTAGAGTTACAAAAGAGTTAAAGAAATTGTATATACACGTATTTATGTACATACATTATATTTAAGAGTCTTTTTATACTTTCTATACTACAAGGCTGTATGTGATAAACGCGGGAAACGTGTGTAAAGTTATTTAAGAAACTCGCTTTCATATATGTGATTTAAACTAGGCAGTTTGTGGGCGGAGGAAGTTTTCAACACTTTTGAGAATATGCGATCTGATCGCTCTATGCATGAAAGCGCTTCTACGTCTCCCTCGCCTTACTTACGTGAATTTGGCAAGAAATTCCAGAAATGCTTTCTCGATGAAGCGTTTATGTCTCCCCTTTCCTTTTCTTCTTTTCCGAGAATCCATCTCGAAGTCCGCCAGATCTGATTTGGAATTTCGCGAGTCGGATCAAATTAATCTCGCTCTCGCCAATTGCGGTAGTGATAACACATAACTGATATCGTGATCTGGCAAATTCAAGGATTCGAAAATAAAATAAACGTAGGAATTGTTTAGAAGCATTTTGATGATGAAAGCAGTGATACACAACTTTTGAGTCGAAGAGATGTGTCGCTCAATTACAAAAACAAGTTACATTTCAAGTGATTGGTTAACTCGCAATCATGGCATGATGATCTAGGAAAAAAAAACTGCTCGTTCGAGATGAGCCGACCGACGCGCCTAAAAACGTCCGCGGATATGCGCTCTCGTACGTCACTTCTTGTTGGGATTTGCAGACATGCCGCGGTAAATCGTCTAAATATTTTGGCTACTGCAGGCTTCATCAAAACTGCTCCGTGCAGTCGGCTGCGTCAGTTTCGTTCCGCTCGACACTCGCTGAAAAGCGTTGATCACTGTCAAGCTCATCTGGTCTCACACGTCCGCGTCTCTTCTAATGTCACATCACGGCAGCGTCGACGGCAAAGATAATTGCGAGTCTCTTCGCCGACCCAGCCTCTCCGTAAAGATGCAACGTAGCTTGAGGAAAATGAGAAAAAGCATCCAAAAGATTACTGGTAATGATATCCAATTTAATTGTAGATTAGAACTTTATTAGATTAGGACTCTGTTCTAATCTAATTTTTATATAACGCTAGATATTGCTAATTAAATCCGCATCGTTTAAATTAGATAATAAGAACGTAATGTGTACAAAATACATAAAGCTAATCACTGTCCGTTTTTAATAATTTTATAATAACTGTATAAATGAATTTAATTAAGTGACTGAATAATAATTTTATTAATAACGTAAAAAATAAAAAAAAACTAATGGAAATCGGCGCGCAAAATATAATTGTCAATTATTAATATTTAATACAAATTAACAGACGTTTTGACTTTCTTTTTAATGTATTGACTTTGAATAGTATAATAGATTCAGATTTTTATTTCATGTTCTTAATTTATTGATTTTATGCCGAGTTGTTTTATTTGAATTCTTGACTATGATTTATCGTCGATTCATTGACTTTTATAATTTCTATGCGGTTTGTATATCTGTTGCAAGGATAAGTTGCACATTATTTTGAATATTATAATTATTCCTTTTTTAAAATTGAATTTATTAGAGGAAATACACAATCATATCCATTCTCTTCAACTGTAGATAACGTAATTTGGATTGTAAGCGGATGGCTTTCTCACCTATGGCCATAATTAGATACACGACAAGTAATTGCGAGAGTTCACCGTTCATAATTTTGTCATTGATGATGGCTAAAAAAGTTAGTCGAAACTGTTGATCGATATTAAATATTAATAATTGGCAATTACATTTTGCCCATTATTTACCACGCCGATTACCACAAGCCTTTTCTATTTACTACGTTATTTAATTGTCGGGAAGCTTACTAGGAATTTTTAAATTTTATTAATTTTGTTATTGAAAATCGAGTATGAAAAAAGAAAACAAAAAGTTAAAGGTAAATAATTTGCAACTTTCCATTAACATACATACTTGGTGATAATAACACACATTTAGCATTAATTAAATGTAAAAACAGAAAAAATCTTTTAAAGTGCGATAATTTAATTTTATCATAATTATAGTTTATATTCATTGAAAAGTGTAATTGTGAAAGAATTTGATAGGAACATTTTTAGAAACTTGAAATTTTTAAAATTATTCAAGCAAATCGGGATGTTTTGATAAATTTACGAACGTAATATTACTGTGTAATTCGATCACGTTTTCGTAGAGAGCATCCAGGAGGACGATAAACATTCATTGTACATTTTCCCCGAGCAACTGTCCACCCTGACCTGGCGCACCGGGTTTTCCAAGGACGAAATTCGTAAATTGTATCGCGCCTTCAAGCAGCTCTGTCCCAGAGGATGCGCGACGTCCGGCGACCTGAAACCCGCGTACGCCAAATTATTTCCGCTTGGCGATCCGGCCCGATACGCGCAGATCGTGTTCAACAGCTTCGACCGGGACGGCGACGGCATTGTCAGCTTCAGCGATCTTCTCGAAGCCATGAGGTCGATCAACGGCAACGTGGATCAGAAGCTCTCCTGGATATTCGAGTGAGAGTTCATCCAATGCTTTCTCCAATGCTTCTACTAACTGTAGTGATTTCTCTGGATAAGGGAAATAAGGTGTAATATTTATTCGGATTAGAAGAATTAATTTGATTTTAAAAAGATGAAGAAAGTTTCTTTGATCAGTTTGAAAATTATTCTTCGTTGAATTGATGATCATGTAGCAAAAGCGACGCAATGCGACACACGCGAAATGCTCTCTTCGAACTTATTGCTTGTCAGGTTCTACGATCTCAACGGCGACGGTTGTATCACGAGGCAGGAGATGCTGGTTATAGTATCCGCGATTTACGAGATGGTGCAGAACGCGCAGACCATACAGTCCGTGATCAACAAGCAGGTGGACAGGTTCTTCGAGAAGATGGACGCGAATAGAGACGGCATAGTCTCCAGGGAAGAATTTATGAGCGGCTGTAAAAATGTACGGCATCCCACGTGTAAGAATAACGTTATTCGTATTTAACACTAGAGGGGAATTTATTTAACGATATCGATAACAAAATCTTATCAGACTTTTTAGAACGAAAAAGTTATAATTTCACATTAATATCGATGATTTGTTAAAAATGTAATTTACACCTGTCTTATTATTACCCCTTCCAGTGTTAAAATTCAGTGCAATGCATTCAATGAAGTGCAATCTATTTAATAGGTGAATGTAAAAGTATACGTGTACCCAGAAATTCTTCATAACGTCTTTTTTTTTTTACAGGATGCTATTATATACAATCAGTTATTTTTATTTGACAATATCTGGTGACGGAATGAAAATGATCTTTAAGAGATTAATGAGTAACTTATATACATAAAGTTATTAAAATATTTATAAAAGTCCACCCTCTGTCCTCTTGAAGAATATACATATATCACATTATCTCTCTCTTCCTCCCCCGTCCCGTTGTAACATAAGAAGTTTTGCATTCACGTTATGTGCAGAACAATTCGATATCATCTTGAACACTTTTTATATACACGCTCAGAACAATCTTTTTTGTAGAATGTAAAATACGCAGGCAAGAAAAAAGGCGAATGCCAGCGCGAGCAGCGCTTTGTCGGTGACTTCTCGTCTACCGTATTTTCCTAAGAGCTTCCCCGATTGTACTATAGCCTGCTGCTGATGCTCCAACTCGTCCTTGGTGCTGCCAACCTTGTCCGAAGAGGTTACTGAAACAACAATAATCCGTAGAACATCCAGCGTCGGCCGTCAGCTTTCGCCGTCAAGTCAGGCGGACATGGGTTATACGTACGCAGAGTGTCCAGCGTGTCGGCGCTTCTCTGAGTCGTTTCGGCCAGATGCCTGGAGATGCTTAGCAGCTTGTCCGTCACCTGGCTGGACGCGTTCGTCAAGCTCCGTTTGTCGTTTCGCCTACGGAGAGCGTTCTGTCGCTCCTCCGGCATGGAGAACAGATTCTCCCTCGCCAGCTTGTCGATGACACACGCGCTGACGACGTTGGCCTTGCGAAAGGCCGCCAACGAGGTGTTCAGCTGCTCCTTGTGACTGTCCACGGCGGACAGCAGCTCGGCCCTCTTCTGCCCGTCCGCCTCGGTCTCGGCGAGGGACGCCAGATGCTCTATGGAGAATTTCAAAACCGCTATCTTGGCCCTGCCCTCGGCGTTGAGCTCGTTCAGCACCTCCTGCGGCCCACTGCATTGCTGTATGTCCTTCACGGAGATCGACAGGTAATTTATTAGTCACAGAACATTAATTAGCAAACCTATTGCGATACGATTCGCGATGTATCTATACCGTCAAAATAGCTTTGCCACATCAACATTGAAATTAGGTTATATTCCATGTGCCACGACGATATATATTTACTTGTATTAAAGCGTTCACTTGAAGCTGGTATTTGACAATGTCCTGACGTATTACTTCCACGGAATCCATTGGCCATGCAGGTGTTAGTGGCATGCTTTGTTCCTACGTTACTTCTCGTTTGTACGTTGCGTATGTACAAACGTGCGACATGTAGGCGAAGAGCTGCGATCAGCTGATGCAGACAGACGCCACGTCGAACTGTCAATGGACACGTGCTTACCATCAGCTTACAGGGTCTCTCGTAATTCCATGAATTCGTGACCAGAAATTTTATTTTGTGTGAATAGAATATTTCAATATATTTATATATTATTTATATGATTATTTGTTCCACATATTTATATATTTATTATGAGACATTTATTTCGTAAATATAAGAAAAAAATAATTGGAAAAAGATTAATCAATAATTTAAAATGTGTCTTAATGCAATGCTAATTTTTCACAGTTTTTAATAATTCTATTTAATTTTTCTCAGAGATTGCTATGAAATGTAAAGGTATCTATACATCTATATATATCTACATATTATTTCTAATTGCATGAAATAAGGGGAGGTTGTGATATTTTAAGAGAACGTTTACAAGGTAAACGTAATTTATTATAGATATGATACAATTGTGCCTATTTTGATCTATTATATAACTATTATATATCTAATTTCGCAGTCCGCTCATTGCAAGTAGACTTCAAGTAATCTAGTGATTTCAAAAAACTTTGGGCTTCTTTCTGTTCGTAGAACATACTGAAGATTATTGTTACAAATGAAAATTTGCGTCTTTACAAAGTTTCTATGATGATATATATAGCTTTACAAATCTTATGATGTATGTGAGTTAGATATACCCTATAACGGGTGCGGCACTACGATTCGCACAGTCGTTTCAGACAAAAATGAACTTGCGACGCAAGGACCTGCGGCTTCCTATGTTACACATCGTTAACGCAGGCTGTTTATCACGGCGGCGGTGAACTCCGTCGTCGAGCTCTGCCCGCCCAGATCCTTCGTCAGCACCTTGCCGTCGTTCAGCACGCGGTTCAGCGCCTCCCGTATCTGCTCGCCGTAGCGTTTGAGATTCGAATGGTTCAGGAGCTTCACCGCGCACAGCATCATCGCCGTCGGATTCGCGACGTTCTTGCCGACCGCCTCGGAATACGTGTGCCTCGCACCCTGTGGAAGAATATGGATCTCCTTAGTAAGTTGTGTTTCAAAATTGGTAAATTAAATCGAGCTTCAGGGATCCCTCTTAATATTAACTGCGTTGGATACAATTCTTATTTTGTACAAATAAAAGCAGATACATTACCGGCTCAAAGACGACACACTCGGCGCTGTAACTGGCACCCGCGACGACTCCGGCACCGCCGACCAGACCGGACGCGAGATTATCCACGATATTCCCGTACAGGTTCGGCATTACCATGACGTCGAACTGATGCGGATTGGAGACCATCTGCATGGTACAATTGTCGACGATCATCGTCTCGAACGTAATCCTGTTTGCATCGGAAAATAGGAATTATAAAGTAAGTACTTCGCAATAACTTCGTAATAAATTTTCTAAGCGGCAATTAATAGACGGACGAGGAAGTTGTCGGAGTATACCTGGGGTACATTTTCGCAATTTCTTGGCACGATCTGAGAAAGAGCCCATCGCCGAGCTTCATTATGTTAGCCTTGTGAACACACGTGACCTTCTTGCGGTTATTCTTCACGGCATAGTCGAAGGCGAACTTCGCGATTCTTTGGCTTTTAGTGGCAGTCACGATCTTCAGGCACTCGACCACCCCCTTGACGGACTCGTGCTCCAACGCGGAATACTCCCCCTCCGTTTGCTCCCTGATGATAACGCAGTCCACGTTCTGATGACGCGATCTCACGCCCGGCAAAGATTTCACGTGCACCACATTTGAATATAAGTCCAGGCTCTTACGTAATTTCATGTTCAAGGTCTGCAACTCTCCCGTCATAGAGTGATCCGGAGTTGCCAGGATTCCCTGTTATATTAAGCATCATGCAATTATGTCGAGTTATGCAGCGTCAACAATGAGACTTGAAATGTAAGAAAATTGACCGATCATAAACGATCATTCGGATCATTCACCTCACGTGAGAAAAATAATCGACTGTAATTAGTTAATTTTTTTTAGTCTTAAGTCTCATTGTAGACGTCACTTTACTAAATTATCATGTATTTTCAGCCATTCTTTAAAAAAAATTTACTTTCTTCGATAGAAAAAAAATTTTTATACTTTAAATTATATTTTCAAGCTACACAGAAGTAACAATATGTTTTAGCTATCCAATGATATAGCTTTCTAACTGTCTGTATGTACACGAAAAAGCGTTGAATATATTATTAGTTTTAGTACATGTTATTATATCATTAGTTTAGAAAGAGTAATATAATCAAACCTTTAAACAAACTCGATTTCTAGCGATACTGTTGGAGACTTGATCCAGTGGAGCACTCAGGGTTGGATTTACTTCGGACAAGAAGTAAGGTTCAAACTCAACCGGGACATCCGCGGCTGTGAAAACACTTTGAACTGCGACCACGAGTTCGGGTCCAACACCGTCTCCCGGTATCAAGGTACATTTCAACTTTCCTTCTTGTTCAACTGCCTGAAAGAAGTCACGTGCACACATGTGTTACATATGTATTTATTATAATTATTGAAGAATAGTGATACTCACTGATTCTTGCTGCCGTACTGTTCCCACATGCAGAGCTCTAGCTGTGCTCTTTTGAGCAGCCTGCGAAGGGAGAGAATTACAATTTGTTTAGGTGTAATGAAATTCATAATTTACTATATGATAATCTAAGTGTGATGTACGTACTTCAAACGCAATATTACTTTAAATGCAAATTCGGTGCCCGAAATGCCAGAATTTATACGCGTGTGTGTTATTAATTATAATTAGTTACTGCACAAGTTGAAAATGCCAGAATTTATACACGCGTTATTAATTATAATTAGTTATATACAAAGAATTCTCAAAGTGGCGCTCATTACTTCAATTTCACGTCTAATTCTCTTTCTCTAGGAATGCTACACATTTGGGATCTACAGACTTAGGATTAATCCTTTTCGTTAACTGGAGTAATCGGCACTTGGGGGGGGGGTCTCTTGTACTGCTCCGCGAAAACTTCCTACGAGCAATCGGGTTCTTCTTGCGTAATTGGCCGATTTATCGCCTTTTTATCGACGAATAGCAACGCTACCACGATTAAATTACGAGATAAGCAATCGAGCTCGTGGATGCGCGTGCTCGCCTCGGTCGACGCGTACCGATTCGCGGGCCGTCCGGGCAGATCCGAGGGATGCCGTTCGCGGTGCGTCGAGCAGCAAATTAAGCTTACGTTTCCGACACGCGGATGCGGATCTCGGATAAAAATATCACGATATAAAGACACCACAAAGAATATATATATAATGCCCTTGCGATCGTCTGCCTCGCCACGGAGCAGTCGCTTTGTTCGTCGCGATAGACCTTGCGCGCCTCTCTCGCGTCTCGCTGGTTGCACGCGGCGAGATTCCGGGCACACGGGGCGACGGAGGAACGTCGGTGATTACCTGGGAGAGCGCCTTGCAGATGTTTCTCGCGAGCAAAGCCATCTTTCACGACGGAGTCGACTGCCCGACTGCTCGTCTCGCTCCTCGCGCTCGCGAATGCAGGGGTGTAATCGCCCTCGGGGTCGCCGCATTTGTTTAATTTGACCGAGAATCCGTTTTTGCGAGATCTGAGGTTCGAGCGCTTCATCTGGGCTCCGCCCGCGTGTGGAAATCTTCGCGGTCCGTCGTGCGGAAAAAAAACGTCTGTTAAAGTATCCTCGCAAATCACGTCGATAAAAAGAAAATTAAGTGTCCGTTACTGTTCGGCAGTCACGTGGACGGCGCTAGCGACTTGCACTGCAGCTTACACTCTCTCTCTGCATTTCTGCGATTATTCGCTCTGTCTCGTAATCAACAATGTTCGAATATCTGGTCAATCTTGTTTATCAGAGAGGAAAGGTGAATCTAAGAAAGGTTTATTTTTTATGGCAATTTTTTTTTGTATCTATCTTTCCTCCTTTTTTTCCCATTCGTCCCCTTGCGAGAAAGTGCGACGTGGTGCAGCTGCTGCGGGCAGTGCGGGCGAAACAGATCCACAAGTTAGAAAGCATTATGAGGATGACAGAATGAAAAACGACGTGAGGACGACGGGAGGATGTCGTGAGGACAACATAAGGCTATCGCGAACATGTTGGATGGATAATTGCAGCAACAGTCAAACGAATCAGCTGATCCTCGGCGGACGACGACGAGCTGGGGAATTGGAGGCATTGGAGCCTCTAACTCCCTAGTTGCTGCTCGAGGGATCAGCTGATTCGTCCTGTCGCCTCTCTCCCGCCGCGATCGTCCGTCGACGGTCGTCCTCGCAAAAAAAAAAAGCGCGTCGAAATTCCGACGTCCCTCACGTTTTCCCCGGCGTTCCTGCCCCGCGCGCACGATATCTCGCGTCGACGCGCGAGGCGAGGTTGGTCGGATCCCTAGTGGATTGCGATGCCGCGGGGTTTGCGGGCGTGGCGGCCGCGGTGGAAATAGACACGAAGGGGTTAGAGGAGGGGAAGGGGCCGCGCGTGTGGTGTGAAGTGTGAACGGGGGGACGATTCTCTGCGTGCGGTCTATTTTTGCGGGAGAGACCTCGCGGACGACGCTACCTGGGATCTCTCTCTTCCTGGGTCCTGGACCTCCGCCCACTGAGATTCCGCTGGTGATCAACCGGTCAAGATGACGGAGAACTTACGTGAGTGGGCCTGCCCGTGGTGCGATCGGCGCAACAGGCGTTTTCTTTGAATCCCCCCCCATCGATACGGCCACCTACGGGCTCTTGAACGTCAAAGAGAAATAATTTGGGCACTTGTGTTTTGTGTTGCGAGAGAGACGTGTAGACGTACCTCGCGCCGCGTATGCGCGTCTCACCATTTTGAAATGATTTTGCACGCGCGAGCCGTATATGTATTGTTGCCGTTCGCCAGCTGATGCCCTCACGTCGACAATTTCTTACAGCCGAGGAGGTAACGAAGTCGAGTTTCCGTCGCAAGGTGTGGGACTACATGATGAAGAACGAGCTGGTGAATTTCCCGGTTAGCATATACAAGCGTATCCCGAACTTCAAAGGCGCCGCGGAGGCGGCGCAGCGCTTGATCGAGCTGGACGAGTTCAAGAAGGCGAGAGTCATAAAGATAAATCCGGACAAGCCGCAGGAGCCGGTGAGATTTTTGGCCCTGCAGGCGAACAAGGAGATCATCGTGCCTATCCCCAGATTGAGAACCGGCTTGTTCTTACACGTCACGCCGGTCGCAAGCGCGACGAAAGAACAGCTGAAAACGCTCGTTTCCACGCGCGGTCTAGAGCAAGCGGGTAAACCGCTTGGGTTAGATTCCAATATCAAGGTAAAATATTTCACATATAATTTTAGAACGCTAATTCGCTCAATGGATATAATTAGTAAATTTATTAATGGATAAAAGATAAACTATATATAGAAACAGACTGAAATGTCACTAACAATATAATAACAGATTATCTTATTTTCTCACAATTATATATAGATTGCTTAAACTTTTTTAAATTGCGCAAACATTTATCTTGATGGCATCTCGAGGGACATTAATTGATTCTAAATATCTATTGTGTTTGTTGTTCATTTTCAGGTTGATCTCGTTGTGTTGGGATCTGTATGCGTCAGTCGGGACGGATATCGGCTTGGCAAGGGGGAAGGTTTCGCGGATCTTGAATTCGCGATGATGATGAGAATGGGCACGATTACGGAAAATACGCTTGTTGTCACGACGGTGCACGATTGCCAAATCGTAGATCACCTGCCGCCGCAACTGTTCAAAGAATACGACGTGCCGGTAGATATAATTGTCACGCCGACGCAGACTATATACGTAGAGCCGAGACTGAAGAAACCGTCTGGCATTCTGTGGCATATGCTTAGCGAAAGAAGACTCAAAACCATGCAGGTATTACAGCAGCTCAAAGAGATGGATGAAAAGTATGCATTAAGTTGCCCGAATCACTTTATGTACGACTATTTCGTGTAAATACACGGTTCATTCTTTCGCAGGGACGGCAAAATCGTAGTCCTCAAGGAAGTCGATTCCGACGTGGAGACACGCCCGTACATAAAGAATCGCGTTAAATATCCCAAAAAGAAGCGTTTTAGCACGAAGAGAGACGCGTCCAATACAGAAAATATCGTGGAAGGCGGCAAGGATAAAGTTGACAAGCCGCGCTTCCCACGAAGACGAACGTATAAGAAGCCGAAAGCTGAAGAAGAAAGTAATTCTCCCAATGCTGAAGTAAGCGCTCTCTTCGCTTATATTGAATTTTATAATTATATCTGTCGTACTTTTATCAACAAGAGATATTGCGAATGAATCAAATCTCCCTCTTAGTCTATCAAATGAAGTAGTGGGATTAACTTGAAAATATTTTATTATCTATTTATTTATATTTCTAGTATTTTTTTTTTTTACAAATAAATCTCGCCTATGTGTTACAGACGAAGGTGGAAAACAATACCAAGAACGCGTCGCGGCGACGTAAGAATCTTCGTGCCAAAACGAAAACGCATATCGATTTCTCGTTGAAGCTCTCCAACATCTCGTCCGGTGTGAGAGTCCGCGATCTGAAGAACGCCCTGCTGTTGCGCGGCGTCAAGCCGAGCGAGATAACTTGGCAGGGCTACCGCGGCATCTGTTACCTTCACTTCAGCAAACTCCGGAGCGAGGCCGCTCCGCCGGATCAGCCGGTTCAGGTAGATTCGATCGTGGCGAATTTGCAGCAGCTCCGAATCGGTGAGTCCGTGAACGACGAGGACGGATTTATATACGTGGAACCCGCGAAACCGATTTCCAGAATCGAAGTGACCGATGTGACGACCGTACTAAATGTTTACCAAGAACTCTCTACATCGAACGTGTAATTAAGTAAGTGTTGTCTTTTGGTCGTTTACATTTCGACGTCGAACGTAGGGATGGACGTCTTCCAAAGTCAATCCTTCTTTTTTTTTTTTTTAATAAGAATTTCGTCACTTATAACGATCGAGTGTCCCAGGCAACGCGCATTTCTTCTCAGGAACTTTTTAATAAATTTTGTGTATGAAAACTATAACAAATATCTAAAGATTGGCATTCTTTAACTTTTTATCTTATTTTTGTTGTTCATTAATTAAAGGACGCTTTAAGTGTTCCTTAAATTTAAGTCAATTAAGTGAGCCATAAATACTTACTGACATTAATGTCAGATCGTAATTTCAATTGTTAATTCAATTTTAGCTGAAAGAAATTGCGCAACTTCTGGGGGACATGCTGTACCTTAATTTTTTTTTTTATAGTACATCAGCTCGAAGCTACTTAAAGCGCACGCATTATGTATTAACGTTATTAACGTTTTATATAATTATTTCATATCCCTGTTATTTTACTTAAATCTATATATATGGAGTTGTACTTGCGAATTATTCCGAAGTGAAACACATTTTGACGATGATGATTTGCGTTCGGTTTAAGCTATAAGATGTGATACATACCTGGTGCAGTGCGAATATTAATATTTAATATTAATAACTGTTACAATTAACATAGACATACCGCATATTTTTGGTTAATGATTTTATTTATACTATTTTTTTTGTATTAATGAGCCGCTACATTTTGACGTACGAGAAAATATTGGGTAACTTTCCAACAAATTCGTCGCAACGCCCATGAAATAATCTGTGATCAAAAGGTACTTAGGAGTAAGATAGTTGGTCCATGAGGAGAAACAATAATATTACAAGATCGCTGAATAGATTGATAGATAAGAAGATAATGGATTGTGGAGATTAAATCGGCAAATGTACGCCATTTTGCGCTATTTTAAAATTTTGAAATATTTTTTTAATTTTTAAATTTAATTGATTCTTTATAATTCTAAATGGACTTGATATAGTACTTTGCGATTCTCCGCACTTTTCAAATATTCAATGCATAATAATGACCAATAAATTATATTTTTGACATCTCTTTGCGCGCGTAAATTTCTTCAAATAATATGAATTAATTATTGCGTATTGACTCCCGATAAATTATTATGTATTAAGTAATTGATATACATATACATACATTAAATTGAGGGCGAATTCAATTCTCGTTCATTAATGAGAAATAATTTGTGCAAAAAATTAATCTTTTCTGGCCCAGAAAGGTAGCTAATAAAACGTTAAAAATATTTCTCTCTGATTAATTTTCGACGCAGATTGAAGTACATATGTGCGATTTGCAATTTGCAAAAGAATTACCTGCCACAGATTATTAACTATCTCGTTGTATCTCTTCATGGAGCAAAAATTGAATCGTTTTGAATTACTTTTTTCATTCTCTGCAAAATATGAGTTGAGATTAATAGACGTGAAGTAGACTGCATATCTGCGATAATATCTGATGATGATAATTATCTAACGTTATAGACTGATGACAATAGTTTAAGTGTCATTTACAAAGGACACCCGCGACAGACGGTGGTGAATTATCAACGTTTCTTCATGTTTAACCCAGAGAGAAAGAATACTCTATTTTTCTGAACACAGACAAAGACACATACCTATGGACACACGTACACACGCACGCAACACACACGCGCATATTCTAAAAAGAGGATAAATACAGATAAATATATTTTCATGCTCTAGCCGCTTTATAGACATGTTGCGGTCTTCCATGTATTGCCATTCAAGCGTGCAGGAAATATACAATAGATAGGCTTGCGCGTCGGCTGGAAAAAGCAGAGAAACGGCAATACTTTGTGATATTAACAAATATGATTTACTTTATTGTTTCTAATATCGCGCCGGTGACGTTCACGTAGAACTAATGGTGATTGTTTCTACGCGCAATAGACTTATCTTGCTATTTACTTACGTATCATGTATATAAATCTTGCGTATATAAAGGAAACGTTTCTTTTTATCAAATCTCCGGCCTCGTGATGAGTCTACGTATCTCCCTCACTGCTCCGATTATCCAAAATGCAAGCCTCCTGATATAATTCTCCTAGGAATAAGTGTGTGCCAGTTTATATAGTCACAAATAAGTTACAAATTTATTTGCTTGCTCCTCTTCCTTCGTAAGTAAATAAGGTATTTAAATAAAACGTACTGCGGAGACGCAACAGTTGCATCTCGGAGAAAGTAGGCCAACTCGGGGACGCAGGTAACTTCCTTTTTTCTTCCATCGAGATCTCCATCCCTTTGTTTTTGTTTGCTCGCGATTGTTTTCCGCACTGCGAGATGAGATTAACGAACGGCAATAATTACTTTCCTTTCGCAGAAGCGCGCTTCCCGTTTTCTCTTCTTTTTTTTTTTCACCGGGAGAAGCGGGAAATGAGGGAATTAAGGCGGTCGTCGGGGAAACGCCTCTCATTTTCCGTCGAACTCGTGGTTGAAATTGCATTAGTTTCGATTGAACTTCTTGATGAGCGTCTCGCGGGAGTTTACCGTTACGGACGACGGCTTTTCTCGTTTAATCGGATGAAATAAAATTTATCTATCTGCCACGTATGTGAACAAAGTGATCAAGAAGTATTGGAAAATCTCCCGTAAAAAAAAAAACAATCGCAATTTTTTTTCTTCGCAACGAAGCATTTAAAGAAGCTTATAAGCTAAGCGTAATTGCAGTTTTACGATCCTAGCGGAGTGGGACCTCATCTTGCGCCGTAGGAGGACTAATTTGCGAAGCGCGTAAAGGCAATTAAAAGCGAAACGGTCGGGTCTTCGGGTTCCATTAGGTTGAATTTTCTTATTTAACGGCGCCTTTATCGCGCAAAGGGCTTCGCTCCACGGCTTTCATCGGCCTCCAGAAACTAAACTGCATTATCTCCTATTGGATTTCCCCATCGAAGACCGGCGCAATTCCCCACCGCGTCTTCGTTACTCTTCTCCGTTAAGAACCACATCCACCCGCATAGACACTCCGTCAGCATTTATTTCTGCGGAAAGCCGTTAATCCTTTCGCAACCTATGGCACCGAATGTTCCAAGGGAGAAAACATTAATATATGTCATTTTTCTCACGGAGAAATTTACTGAAGGAATCTGTTTTGATCGGAATTTACGGTAACGAACAAAAAAAACTGCGCAATTTGTGAATTTTTCATCATATTTGATTTTCTATGAATTTATTCTATGATAATTGAAAATATTTAAAATATTTCCAATATAATATAATGTATCATATAAGAACGCAAAAAATCCATTATGCCATTGAAGAATGCGGACAATAATTATATGAACAAAATAAAGCGTGTTTTTTTTACTCGTTACTGTATATTCATAACTTTCAATATCTGTTATTTCTTCAATTTATTTCAATAGATAACCGCAGATGCGCGGAGACGGAGGCTGATGCGGCATCGATTTTCTTTTTAAGTAAAATATTTTAATATACAACCGTCACATTTCTCGAGACCCGTTAAATATAAGTATTTCGAATTTCGTATTTAATACAGAAGGAAAGAGGGAACTTTCTCAGAGGGAATTGCGCGCTAATTTGCAGCGTTTTTGTTCGTTTGACAAATTAAGTGGCGCAAATTGAAAAGGAGCGGAAAAGGACGTTGCAAAATGATTTTCATTCGTTATACAGCCGCCGTACACAATCGATGGGTCGCGCAAGGAAATTAAAAATACACCGAGTCAATAGTTTAATCGTCGCGTTGCTCGCCACTTGCAGCGCCGATCGGACGCGATAATTGGCCCATTATATCGGCAGCAGCTTTTACAGATGCAATTACCTCGGAACATTCATCCCCCCTTTTTTTAGATACGGCGCGCAATTACTCGACAAATTGCGTCAGCTGTCTGCACTATGAGAACAATCGTTAAGTTATTTTTAAAATTATTACACTTTCTCGATCCGAGAGAAACGGCGCGACGCGAACGAGCGTTCACTTGCAATTTCCTTTTACATTCGCGGAATCTTCGATCGGTACGTCGCTAATTTTTCTCGAACACTCGCTCGCGATTATACGTCGTATACACGTGCTCGCATTACTCCGGCGATGTTTCACCAGTGTCTGGCCGGGATCTATATTGCACAGCATGGGGCGGAGAGAGGCACGGTGACCCCTTTCACCCTTTTCTCACCCTCGTGAAACGCGGCGCCGGTGCTATCGATTATCCGGCGGCGCTCCTTCGACAGTCACGCTGTCGGTTAACGCCAAATTCTGTCGCGTTTGCGAATTCTTGAATAGCGAATCGAAACTATAATGACGAAGATTCAACTGCTTTCTCCCCGTAATACGATTCGCTCGACAAGTGTAATCCACGCGCGGACGATTATACATTCGAGCATAAAATTGAGATCGCGATATAGAAATCCCGCGCGAATAATTAATGTAAATAAAATATGTCGCGTTCCGATTTCCACGGCTTACGCGAAAAACATATTTTGCCGAACGCGCGGAGCGCAATTTTGTTCGCAGCTGCGCCTCTCCGCACGGGGGATTTAAAGGTATTACATGCTAAAACGCGTTAATAACATGTCAAAGATATTTTTATTCTCAATTCGTACATAGCTTCTAAACAACATATATTTTTATAGAACAAAACATTTATTTATTAATTTATTTATATATTTGTTATATGTAGGTCATATTTTGTTCCCAGTCCCGTCAACAAAGTAATTATTAATGTACGCCGTAATCCCTTCAGTACCTTATTATAGATAAAGATAAGTGTTAAAAATCTCGCACACATCATTCGACTCACTTAGCACTCTTGGACCACCAAGATTTTTGAAATCTTTTTACCTATATAATCTTATATCTTTTTTTTTATCTCACGCTGTTTATCGTTGTGACTCAAGTTAAATTTCATATAAGTATTAGATAATAACGCGCATAAATGTTATGTTAGTGATTTTCGAAGAAAGTGAGATGGAAGATATTTTTCCTCAAAGAAGATTTTAGTCATTTTAGAAGCGATGCACAATATATGTCCGATTTGTACTGAAAGGATTAATTTATATTATATTTATCGGAGAGATGTGCGTCCTAATTCTAGGGGTCGTAAATCGGGTCTCTGAAGCTAACAAGAAAAAAATTTGCTATTTAATAAAGAAGTCCGCCGTTCGTTTACTCCGAGAATAAGTTTCCGCGCTGCTGTTAGTCGGAGTTTCGCAGGGGATATAATCCGGGATGGTAATCTTATAAATGCACGTTTCCTGGTACAGCGATTAAGTGCGCACTGCTGGAGTTCTGATAAAGCTTACGACGAGACGTGCGGTTACCTCCAGCTGTTATCCACATTTTCAGGGGGGGAAATAAACATTTTCGCGGATGAAAATATACAATAAGTTACAGAGCTTATAACAAATCGATATCGCGCGCGGTAACCGGTGCGCTTAGCAGCCTCTCTATAAAATCCCTTAAAAAACCCCCAAACGTTTCGAATCTGTCGTGGCTAAACATACTTACTAAGCATACGTCGTAGCACCAGAAAGAATACGGAGGCCTTGGAAAGAATCGCGTTTCTCGATTCTTTTCGAAGCGTAATTGAAAGTAAACACTGCGGCCGCGAAGGAAGATTCAACGTAGGGGATGGGCATTAAAGATAAATCGCCCCACAAGCGATAGATAAAAAAATAAGAGCAAAGTGACGACATATATATATATATATATATATATGTCGTCATCTTTTCAAGAAGAGTATAAAAACTTCATCTACAATGGAATTCTTCCTCTTACTTAAATTCCTTTTCTTATCTTAAATTTTAACGTGGGAAATATAATTGAAAGGGACACTTCCTCTTACGATAAGTGCGATAGGATCCGTCGGGATTCGGTGCGCATTTGCGACTATAGGATTGAAGGTGGTCTACAGGTCGCAGATATAGGCTACGTCGAATATATCGCGCTCAAGGTGTTATCTAAGATGTGCTAGGCTCCGGACTCGCGTCGATGAAGTCGATGTCCGAGGACGTCGCGGCGCTCGCACGGCGACCTTGCCTCGGCGACGCGCTTATGCGCGCTTTGACGTTCGTCGTCGAGACGCTCAGTCGGTTTCCGGTTCGCTGGGCCGGCAGATGTTGCTGCTTTGTTCTGTAATCAAAGGGTTCCGACATACGGATATATCGCTACGTGCGAGCGCTGGGGGAGGGAAAGACGCGTGTAGCAACCGCTCGGGGTAGATTAACGTACACGGTGGCGCGGTCTCAACTCGGGATTCGTGATTACTCGCGGGAGTTGAGACCACTAAGATATATGCGACAAATAAAACGGAGGATTATTCGATTTACAGTATTAATCTTCAGCGATAAATACCGATGGACGGATCGCGATGAAGGGAAAGAAAAGACGGAGAAAAATATATATCGGTAATCCCGAGGAATTTTTTTTTTTATACTTGAGTCTTTCTTCGGCACCCTTCATGGCAGTGTTCAGTTCCTCCTCCCATTGTTTCTCTTTCTTCTCCCTCTCCTGTCTCTCGATCTCACGCTCGCGATTGTACACCCGGTATTCCGGGATGTAAGCTAATCTCCGCGTGTCTACGCTCGATCCAGCCCCCTCGACGAACCCACTGGCGTCCTCCGCCGAGTGTTCGACCCTGAGCGACCTGCAACGGGATGTCGAGATATTGCTTCGACAATTAGCATATTAATTACCTCGGTAATATGCAGGACCGCGGGCGAAATACGTGAATCTCAAGATGTTCGGGATCGTAACAGTCGCTAAGGACGGGATCACGTTGTACTGTACGTGATGCAATAATTTCGACGTAATTCTGTCACGATAGAAGGAAAAAAAAAGATATTAATGTAAAAGAAGAATTTTCTTTTTTAGGGGAAATGACAAGAGACATGTTACAACTGTCCGGAATTGTCAGAGTTGAATCTCTGCTAAAATATATTATTAAACACGAAAATTTAAGAGACAATATTTCTTCATCATTTCATACATTCATCAATTCATACGCATTTTGAGATTTAAGGGATGAAACAACCTTACAAAGCTAATAAATTGGTTTTCAGCAATTAAACGGTAAGATGTGTAAAAAAATATATAGACGTAACTTTTAGGAATTTTTTAAATACTCTATAATTATAGATATATGTTTAAATTTTTCAAAAATCTCTAATATTTTTAAAATATCCCCATTCCATTATCATTTTTATAAAATTAGGTACCGCAATCAAAAAGAGATAGTTGTGGGTGTAGCATTAAAAATAAATAAAATACCCATTTTCAATGATTGTGTGGAAACCCCCTATTACCGTTTCGATCCGCGAAATCTTCACTAAATCGATTTTAGGAGAACGATGTTCATGCGACCAACCTCTGTTTAGCCAGGCGTTTCTTCTTCTTGTGCAGGGGTTTCGTCTCGATTATCATTTCCTCGAGCTCGAAGGTGGGATCGCAATTCAGGTGATCCTTCGACGGGGTGAAGCTGGGCTTTATCTGCTTGTTCAGCACCTTGTCGAAGTCCAGAACCTTCATCGCGCTCGCCTGTTTCAGTTCTTTCAAGCACGACACTCGGGCGCTCGGCGCGAGAGTTAGCAGGCGGTCCAGGAGATCGCGTATCGACGGGCTCCAATGCGTGAATGTCGACCTTTCCTCCTGAAAAACGAGGTATTCGCGTCGTCCGGGTTCCTTCTCGTGGCAAAAATACGAATAATCGAGAAATTTATAATGAAAATTGGAGGCAGTAAGACTATAAATGTCTCAAAAAAACATATTTTCTAAAATAAAATTATTAAGAGAATTAGTTCGATAAGATTGATAATCCTGATTATATCGAAGTAAAGAACACCTGGATCCTCATGATCTCACGAATATAATTCCAAGATTTTGTATACCGAAATGCATAATGCTTCACGTCGCACATTCGCTGTACGTTTACTTTCGGAATCATTCCGAACTCGAGTGTCGCAAGACAGTTAAAATGCTCGTGTTTGCGCAAGCCAACAAACGTGCGGGGCAGAACCGGCGAACGCTATACGTGCAGTGGCACGTGTCGTGCCAACGGCGCGGCGCTCATGACAAGTCCTTAATTAACGTGACAGCCGGGACATGATGCAACCTTAATTAACAGAATAACGCGCACGTGTTACCCAAGAATGGGTACATACACGGTCCGGAAGAATTCGGTTGTACAGCGTAACTTCAGACAAAGGCTGGAGGCGGAGATGAAAAGTGTGCGACGCACTATTTTCCTCTCACGTGGGTGTTCATTGTTGGTTTTTTTTTCTTTTTTTTTTGTCACACTGTCATGCCTTACCTTCAAGATCCTCAGAGCCTCCCTGTTGGACGTTGTGGAGTGAAGTGGATACGGCCTCTCCATGGCTAGGGTCTCCCAGGCGAGGATTCCCAGGCTCCACCAGTCGACGGCGAATCCGTAGCCGGGGACACCGTATTCCTCGCACGAGCACATGTAAATCTCCGGGGCTGATCCGCGTTAAAAAGAAGAAATGCAAGAAAGCGTACCGGTCACGTTATTCGCGAGAGCGGCTTCGAGTTTAAAGCGGAACATAAAAGACGGATTTGAAATGATGTATATGGAAACGAAGAGAGGTCGTTCTTCTTTTTTGGAATGTGATCCTTTTTCTTTTGCCATGAGTCTCGCTCGATATCACGCGATATCTTATCGACAAGATATAGCTTTCACTTATAAAGATCGCGAATCTTCCCTTCGTAGAGCAAGAGCCCCGTACGAGGCGAATAAAAAGTTAACTTTACGAAAAGAAATTTATGAGGATAATAAAGTTGACCGCAATTATAAATTACGAAATCGGCGCGTGCGTTTGTATTAAATACAGCAAGAAATGTGCGCGCATAAATGAGTAAATAATTAAATATGAGATGGAAAAAGATATATTAAATATGTTTTGAAATTAATTAAATATATGTAAGTTTTTTAAAAATAAAGATTAGAGCATCGGAGTTAAATATCAAAGAAGTACGAGAATTCAAATAATTAAAAAATAATTATGCAGAAGAAGGTAAAAAGTCACGAATGTGTGACTATTTTTTAATTCACGCATACCTATGTACGGTTTCGTTCCAGACATCGAAGTCGCCAACTGCCCGTCTTCGAGTACGGTCGCGATGTTGAAGTCTGTCACATGGGCGTGGCCTAGACAAGCAAATTATCTTTTGTAGTCTGTTATCATTAAGTTAATGATTAAACAAATGAATTATTTAACCGCCTGGCAGCATCTCTCTCAAGCATCACGAGAGAGACAGCAATACACGTAACGACTGCCGATTAATATTAGAAGGTGACACCGTCAATCAAATCCGTAATACAAATTTAGAATATCTATTGTTACGTGAATGAATACAAATGTATAACAAGATCCGCGTGAGCGTGCTCGATAATATTAAATTCTTCTTTGCGTCACAACGTAATGCCGGCGTTCAACGTCGAGTATTGGCAAAATTTAACTGCCCGACCTTGCGACGCGTTTATTGGCGACTTAAGAGTTTACAGTTTACGGTTCTGAATTACAGAGGCGGTAAAGGTATAATATTTTTTCTAGGGTTCCCGCTCGGAATATTATAAAAAGATGCGCAGGTATAATTAACACGTGTGAATAATACACGTGTGCAGCGCTCGCGATCTTTAGATGTTTCTTGCGGGATGAACGTTTAACAAACCCTAACTACACCACCGCACAGCTGTATCTATGGGTCATCAGAGGACTATTAAGGGGTGGATACACACACGCAAGCAACACATATCCCACACACGCGCGCGCGATATTGGTTTTCCAACGCGGTATGGTTCGAGGCTCTCTCGCGTGTGCCACACGCTACTCCCGCAATATTTATCCGTTGCCATTTTCTAAACATCGCGTCGACCGCAATGTGGATCGAGCTACGAACTGAAGAAAGAGAGAGAGAAAGAGAGACAGAGAGAGAATAAACTCCGACGCCGCTGCACATTGCAATAACACACAATCCCTCCATTGTGGCCGGGTTCCGTGCTTTAGTGCTAGACACATAGTTTGCGTATACATCGGGAAGAATAGCTTCCCACCTTTGTACACAAAGGGTTATAAAAATTGACGACCTCCTTGCGGAAAGAATCTTTTCATCGAAGCGATCGTTTATCATTCATTTGCCCGCCGTTCAAGCAGAATAAATGGTCATGACGACATCAAAACGTCAAAATAGCTGCAAAATAATTATTAAAAATCATTTTCGATCAGTCACGATTTATTTTGTCAATGTTATTTGACGTTAGTTCGCGATCCGTTTTACTCGGGCGGTCGATAGAAATAAGAAACGCTGGGATTTGATTCTAGGTACATATTATGAAGTTGTTTCGGAATGGATTTCAATCGGAATTATTCAATTATTTCCTAGATTTCTATTGCGTTTTCTAGGGAAAACGAAATAATTCCGATCGGAAATTCTATTCCGCGAACAATTATATGTGCTCAAACTTTTTCTAAATCAATTTCTCAATCGATTTGTAAAAATTAACGTAAAAAATTAGCAATCCTTTTAAAGCGTATAACTGCGTTTTTTTTTAAGCGAGCGAAAGTTATATTAGCCATTTGATTTAACTAAAGCGTACATTCTAAAATTAAACGTTTATTTCAGAGCCACTTTTAAAAGCGCGGCTTTCGATAACAATTTCCGATGGAAATAATCGAGACCTATTACGTTCACCGCTCAGTTTTGGTATCGACAGCCGTCTATACGGAAATGAAAAACAGATGACATATTATTTAAACAACTTGTTCGTGAATAATGTAGGAGGTAACCCTTCGTCAGATCTCGCGCGAAACTCACCGACTCGTGCATATTCAAAATAGATTAGAGACCCCACCCTTAACTTCAGCCCGCTCACGAAATGTTTGACGGCTTCAATCTGCTAAATTGCCTCCCCCCTCCCTTACTGACGTCTCGCGATCTCGCGTGTGCGCGAAGTCGCGTCTAAGGTAAAATTAACGGGACAAATTGCGACGGCCGCGCATCGCGGATCCGCAAACGGAATGCGGACGGAAGCGAGAGAGAGGGAGGCGGAGTATCATACCCTCGCCAATTTTACGCTCGCCATTGTAGTCACGCTTAGGACTTTAATGAAAGTAGTTTCTACGCGGTTTTCCCTCCCCGGAAGAGGACGTCGAAGTTCCACGCGCAAGTCAGCTAGACCTGATCGGACTGCCGCTCGGCCCTCCGTGGTTCTTAACTGCGCCTCATTCCGCCGTATTATGCTAAATTACCTCGCTTCCTTAACTTCCTCAACTATGCAATTATTCCGGATTACAATGATTTTTAATGATATTACGACAATGGAATTACGAGCGAGCGAGCGAGCGAGCGACCTGACCTTTAAAGAGAGAGACTTAAAGAGAGACTCCGGAGGGACTGGCGCGGAGAGAAGAGATTTATATTCGTAATGGTTTTTCTTTCGGGCAATTATTTAACTTGCGCACAAGGGACTTTCAAGAACTCCCTTGCGAATTTCTAAGGAGACACTTTTCACTTTCGATCGAAATTAATTTTTCAATGTCGATCTTTCCTCCCACGTATTATAGATCGAATTGGATCGAATCGAGAGGACTGAGAGATCCGTTTCGCCGTTTGGTGTAACGTCCAGCCTGAATCCACACACGGAACCAGCTGTATTTTGCATTGCCCGGTGTCCCCCGGGCAATACTTTCTCTGGCTGAATGGGTCCTAGGCGGCACACTAGATGGGAGACGAAAGCCGGGTGATAAGAGCACCGGTGTGCGTAATTTTAAATAATGCAGAGGCAATCTCGGGATTCAAACAGCCGTCGGCCAGGTGCAGGAGGAAATTAAGACAACCCCCTTCCTCGCGACCTCCACCTGCATTCCCGTTCCCCTTCTTCTCGTGGATCGTGTATGTACATTCGCTCACAGAAAGGTTGCAACACTTTTTATTTTGATGGATTTTGGAATGCAGTTTTGCTTGTGGGCGATTGAACATAATTGGTTATATCCATTGGTAGGAACCAATCGCTCGGTGAATAGACTGTGTTCCGAAAACGATTAAAAAAAAAAGTGTTGCAACCTTTCTGTGAGCGAGTGTATACATACGTGCGCCTGCTTCTCGCGTTTCCGAGGCACTTCCCGACGAAACAAGTTTCCTCCCTCCCTTCTCCCATCGCATCCTCCCGTCGATCTTTCTATTAAAGCGGATCCGACCTTCAGCACGTGAGCACGCATAACCCTTTTCGTTTCGTCATCCCCGCATCCTCTCTCTCTCTCTCTCTCTCTCTCTCTCTCTCTCTCTCTCTCTCTCTATCTCGTAGTTTCCGCGACGTCGAAGGCGGTATATTGTATCCATGTATTGTTGTTCGCTGTCGTTACCGCCTCGAGCTTAATTTTCCCGTTTGGCGGAAAATCGATAAGGCAATCGCGCGGACGTAACCGAATATATCATTTCCTAACGTTTATGCTAACAGAATTTTCGCGGATGCTCAATAGTGAAGGCGAGCGCCTTCGATCGCGGCAATAGATTAGGATCCGCCATGCGGATCCTATATCTTCAAATCTTGATCCTGCTCTCGCTGTTGGTTTGTTTGCATTTATTCGTTTCGCCCGAACTAGCAAACGCGCGTAAATCCGAGGAGCCGAGAATCTCGAGAACACGAGGCGCCGTCTGCATTATTTAGCGTAGCTCTCGAGATTTGCTCGGCTTTTCCATCCCCGCGGTTGCAGCCCCTCTGGCGTAGTCTTTAATATTTTGACAATAAATCGATATCGCCGGGACAAGCAAGGCGGAAAAAGCGTCACCGATAATTTCGCGATCCTCGGCTCCTCGGAGAGGAGCGTCGTCGGAGCGAGGATGAGGGGCGACATTCTCCGCATTGATAAAGCGGAAAAGAAGACGCTACTTCGTCGCGCTTCGCCTGCCGTTCTCAAGAATCTCGAGAAACGAGAGCGAAGTACCGAAGATACGCGAGAGAGTATCAATACCCGGTAAAAAGTACATAATATAAGATCTTCCCCCGTTTATTTTATTACAAGATTCCACGAGAGCCGCATTGAGATCTTGAAGGATCCTCGAAATCTTTGTTCCCTCGAAGGGGGAAGGAGAGGGAGTAGTAGCTTCCTAACAAACGATATTATCGGAAATGAAACTTCCGTGCGCCGTCGAGGAGTTTTCGAAGTTCCAGTTTCGAGAGATAATACTTTAAGATTGTAATTTCACGAGACTCCGCATAATAGAAAATCCTTCATCGATGATGGAAGAGCGGCAACATATTAACTCATCTGCTTATACGAAGCGAATACCACGTCCGTTGCAATTAGCACACGACGTCGCAGCCGCGGCGTTTCTCGCATGCAGGCAATTTCCGCGCTTGCATGCGTACAGCCGCGGCATCTTGTATCGCCTGCACAATCTGCTAAATCCACACATTCAGGGATATATATTAATCTCACGGGATTCGGGGAACGGGAGCGGATGAATGGGCGCGCGAACGCAGCCGCCGATTAATCCCCGCGCTAAAGCCCGCCGATTGCCTCCTCGCAGCGATTCGCCCGCGTGAATTCGCGGGTAATCTCATTCGTCGCGCGAGATTCATCCGCTCGAATAATAATTTGGTCGGCGCTTCGGAGTAACCGAATCACGGGCGCGATTAGAAACGTTTGTCTGCGGCGACATCGAGACGGTGGCCTCGGGATCGGCGCTTGATATGCAAACGAGAGCACGTCGGTGTCGGGCGGAAGCTTAATGACAGCTATTTCGAGATTTGCGACGCATCGAACTCGCACACGACGAGGCTCCCACAATATAAATTAAACACGAATTGTCTCGGAGAAAATTACCGTGCGGTATTATTGCGGGGAAAATTATTGCACACATACACACACAACAAGAAGAGCGCTCCTGCAAACGTGCGCACGATTCCGACTAATTTCAACGATTTCGAAAATATAAAAACATACACGGAAAAAATTGCTATGGATGTTTGCATATTTAGTTATCCAAGTAATATATTTGTTCAAATTCCAAGTATCAAACTGACTAAACGATACTGATGGGGATAATAGTATTTTTGATCGGACGGTTGAGTTAAATACGATAAATTTTTATTGAAACAAAATAGTTTAGTAAAAAATAATATTTTGTTTATAATAGTAACAAGTTATTTTGTGTCATCGTGGTAATGTTTAGTTAAACGCATCGGACTAAATATTTTGGTAAGGTAAAACAAATTTCGCGTTTTTCAACAAATTTTTTTTCTCCGTGTAGTATTTTAATTCTTATAATCCTTTTTAATTGATGGGCGAAAATTATCACAATTATTATGTTGCGGCAACAGTAATTTTTTTTCCGTGTGGTAGATATATTGCGAACGACAAAATAAATTTATTCTTTAATTCTTTTTCAGAAATCTCTCTTTCTCTTTCGTGCGACATATATTTTGCCCCTTCGTCCGATTTGTATAAAGCGCGCATACGAGAACTACCGTGATCATATTCAAAGTTCAAAGTTTATTTACCGGTTCCACATCTACCGCAGACGCGGTTACTCGAATGTCTCATCCCGTGTTTACATCGAAGTACGACTTTCGCATTGTGTTAAATGAAACTCGGGATCAGGTGGCCATTGTTAAAGCCGTGGCTCGAAATCCGCCGGGGGCGGGGGATGCGTCGACCGCGATTTGTCCGCCGCGCAGAGATTACGTCGTGCTCTTAAACTCTTTCGCGCGACACACGATCCTTCCTCGTCGCTAAAATTCAACAATAAACCGTACAAGGCTTTATTTAATGGACATCGATTTTACGCGATATCATAATTAAATCGCAGTTTATTGATCTTAATAATTAATTTTAATAGTTAAAAGCACTCGTATGATAATGCCTCTGATGTGATAAATGCAAATGCACGGACACACACACACATGCGGAACTTTCGGAGAATAAAACAAACAATTTACGAGTTAATTCTCTAAATTACCTAAATCCATATAAAGTTGATAAGAGGCGTTTAGTGCATTGAGCTTCATTACTCATATGTAAAACGACGATGTAAAACGTCGCTGTTGGATTTTCGAGTGTTTTTCCTTTTTTCGAGATTCGTAGTGGGAAAAGGAGCTTCTTTTTAGGAGAGAAAATCCACTCGGATTAAGTTCTCTATAGACGAAATTAATTATCTTTATCCGTATATTACTCTCGCGCGAACACGATCGACTGCAGCTGGCGTGGTTGAAGGTAAGGGTTCGAGAGATCATTCGACGAACGGAGGAGAGATCATCGACTCACCCTCCTCGTCCAGCAGTATATTGTCCGGCTTGATATCCCGATGGATGATCCTGTGGGTCTGCAGATAATCGAGCGCCAACGCGATCTCGGCCACGAACAGCACGACGCTCTTCTCGCTGAACACAACGTCCTGCTGGATGTGGTATCTCAGATCGCCACCCAAAAGGAGATCCGACACCATGAAGAGGTCCTCCTCGTCTGCAACAGAACACCGGAACGACCGTAGCAGGCGATCCTCTCTTCCTACGTGTCTCCCTCCCCCTCTCCCAAGGTCGCTCTTTTTCATCACGTTTCACGCACATTCGCGAGATGAAAGCGACGCGTGTGGTTCGTCGAACGGTTGACCGATCAATATTGACCCAGTAGTACTAGTTGAGCCCTGAGTTCGGCAGACGCCGTTATTGTCCTGATATTTCACGTATACGAGCGGTAAAACCGATTCCGAACAATGCGCAATATGAGCGATATTCTTCGGTAAATATAGAGCCGCCGTGAAACCGCACGCGCGAGTTTTATGACGCATCTGTTAAAAACGTTTGAACGATGGAAATTACCGTATCCTACGGTAATTTCCCTGGTGCCCGTATAATGTCGTTAATCGGTGCAGCTGTCGAATAAATTCTCATCAAGTAATTTACATTTACGCGAAATCACCGCAACTTCGCTCACCAGCTACCTTTACCAGATTGTCATACACAATTTGCTGTTTCTTTATTTGATAGCGTTATATATTTATATAACAAGTACATTCTCGGCTTTGTCGACGTTCTTCCGTCGAGGTAAAGTTAAAAAACGCGAAAGAATTACATTGAGAGCGATTAAGAGATCAGAGAACACGAAGCTTCTGTTTAAAATGAAACGCTACGTTCAATTTCTGTCCACGTGCCTGTCAGGTTGTCTCATATAATCCATATTCTCATATATTGTTAAATGTGACGCAGAACGATATCTTTCGAATGAAACGAATGGAAATAGAAAGCTCAATGGTTCAATATGAGGAAACTTTTAACTGCATTATTCTATAGACACAAGCTGTTCGAACATGGAGACTGCAATCTGCTAATTGTCGCACCGTATTAAATGTCTATCTATATACAAGATATCTCTATATATAATACATATAATTTTATGCATACCAGATGTTCCAGAAATCTCTCAAAATTTATACCTTATTTATAAAATAAATCATTATTATCATTTATAATTGTATTATGTATCAAATTGCGAAACTGCGTAATTATATTTCAGCATTAAAATAAATAATTAATGTCCGGAAGGTAGCAAAGGTATCGAATGCAAGACATATTTTTTTCTCATTTTCGCGAGGTGCAGTTAGTTCTTCTACTTGCTTCTAATTGTTTAATGAACATCGGTTTTGCACGTGGAGAATCCTCCCATCGGTGATTCTTTTAGTAGCACTCATCCGTTATCTAAAAATTTAATCCGCGGCCGATCCATCAAAACCGCGACGGCAAAAAAGATTCAATAACGTAGTTTCGGTTTTGCACGCCACATACGCATCTCGTTCTAGAGTGTTTAATATTTGACCCACCTAGAGAGAGCTGATGGAGTGACGAACACTCTCATTAAAGTCTTCACGGCAACTGCGAACCACGAGCAATTGCTCGTTTTTGCATAAATATTTGCACCGTCCGTATACCCGACGTCGAGAGGACTCGACTTCTTTCAATAAAGTGCTGTGTGTTTTTACGAGATAAGCGTAATCCTTTAATGCGCGTTTGTCGACCGGATAAAAAAACCTGGAAAAGAGACGTCGTGCCCGTGGTTTCGCGTGATAACGTGAGTACCGTTTCGCACTTCTGTGATATCTGCTCTTTTTGCTTTAAATAAAATAAAAGGGTGAAATTCATTGAGACTGTAAAGTTTAACGTGCACATGTGGAAATATTATCTGTTCGATTTCAGCAAAAAAGAAAAAAATATCGTAGCAAAAAAATGAATATTGTAACATTAATAAAATAATTAGTAAATTAAAACTTAAAAGTGCAATTTCGAATAAATATTCGGAATTTAATTATAAAAATATTAAATCGAAAAGCATTGAGAGAAATGTTTAATAAAAATCGGTTTATAATGTTCAAAAAACTCTTCTGTCTCGTTTATAAATACCTAAATTTATTAACTCCGCAAACGCTTCTATTTCCACGATCATTTCTAGCAATTTTAAATTCGTCGGATAATTGTCTTCCGTGTTAATTATCGCGCCCTTTATTAATAATAATAAAAAAAAACCGATAGTTATACGTTTAATTCACAACGAAATATTATAATTCTAGCATTCATTAAAAAATTAAATAATTAAAATAATTATTAAATAATTATAAAAATGCAATATCTACGTATATTACACATCCGTTTTCTATAGCGTTTAGTTTTATCTACAAATTTTTCGAGTAATTTGGTGTTAATTTTTTATTTTAAAAAATTGATTCTTAATTTTTATGATTTTTCGGTCAGATTGAAGTTAATTCCTTTCTCAGCGAAAATATCAAATGATGGTATCAACGTTTCTCAAATCGTTAAGTGAAAAAGAGATGGAACGGTAGAGTTAATAGAGGATTCATGAAAAAGTTTTTTCCAAGTCCTCTGGAACACCTGTGTATATTTTATGCGATTCCCACGGGATCTAAAAAAATGACTCGGGTGCGATCGATTTCTCGAGAAAAGAAAAACGATTTACCTTGGAAGCTGAACCATAAATTCACCAAGCAAGGATGCTCCAACTTTGACAGGATCTCCACCTCCCTCGCCACGTTCTTCAGGGCGCCTCGTTCCGCGCATTCGTTTTTATGTACGTACTTCATGGCGTACATGTCCATACTGTCACGTTTTTGCACGATGCAGACCTGTCGGTGCAGAAATTGCATCGAAACTTAATTGCGCCCTGTACATTCGTGCCCTCCGCGCTAAAACGCGTTTGGTCTGGTAGTTGTCTGCAAGTTTTCTCGAGAGTTAGCAAATCCAATATTCGCGGAATACTTAATTCGCCTGCAGAATAATAACGAAGCAGGGACAGTAAAATGTCTTTGTTTACTTATCTCGATAATTTGCGGTAAAATGTAGCGTTGATGTTTACTCTACTCTGCTTTTATATCGCTTTGTATTATCTTAATTATCGCGTGTTATTCGAAGGAAATCGTCTCGGCAAAAAAGTTTGAAATAAACCGAAAACAATTTTAAGCCGCGAACGACAGTAGAACGGGATCGTTAATTATAAAGATTTAATTCTCTATTTTAATGATTATTTAAGAACGGGGGAAACGTCGCGTGTACTTAGTACCCCCATAAAAAGTGCAGTAGGAAACGAGTTTCGGAATTTTCGTAGTGACCTTACCGGATAGATATAAAAGCGGCGAGGAACGCACTCTTTTTACGATCGAGAGCGTAACGCATTTTACAGCGGCATAAATGCAATTCGCGCGCTCGCTACGTTCTAACATTACACCGGGGACCGAATGAACACGCGCCACTGTTGGTCCACGTGCCGTTCTTCAAATAATATATATTTGCGTTATAAACGCGCGTTCGGCGCGCAGCTAATGGACCGTGTACGATTCGCGCGATCGACTCGAAATTAAGCTGGTGGCGCGGATTGCGTTAATAATAAAAAGACAAAAGTCCCATTCTCATTCGCAAAACATCAACGGGCTTTCCGCGCGGGTGGCGAAGCGACGTGTAAATTACTTCGCGGCTCGATGTATATTAGCGAGAACCTGCAGCGGAGAACAGCGGCGCGACTGTTACCGCGTATACAAACGCGAAAGGGTACAACAACGACAGTGGCGATTCCTGCCGGGATAAACGGCACGGGGAAAACCGCAATCTCCGACCGCAATCTCCGACCGATTCTGAAAATCGTCGAACTCGCAGGCGGGAAGCCGCGGGAACGCTCGGCTCGCTTTGTAACGATACCCCGTGTAAATGCTCCGTTGCGATCCGGCTCGGAAATAACGCAACGACGTACCTTGCCGAAGCTGCCTTTCCCAATGGCGCGTAGGATTTGAAAATGATCGAAATTCACTGCAACAAACAGAAATGCGAGTCAATTGAGACGATGCGAAATGGCGAATTTAAAGGGCGAGCGGGTAGTGCATTGACCGACCCGCGCTATTGAATGCGCAATCGAGATGAATAATCGTAACGGTTCCCGCGACATGCAACGTATTTTTCCCGTTTCTGCAATACGTTGAACTCGACGCTAATCGGGATTGACTCTCCGTCAGCACTAGCAATTTTTGTCAATGAGGCAATTTTCAAATTGCCAGTGCTCGATCCCTTTTTATATATAAACATATATGTGCGAAACATAAAGGTATCTTGCCGTATCTTGCCAGATAGCAACTCGCGAATGTGTATAATGCGTTAATTAAACTATACCATGTAATGCGTTAATTAAACTACATACACACAATACCCCCTTCAGGGAAAGCGGAAACCTCGGTTTTAACAGGGGTGTATTTGAAATCTATCTATATCGCTTCCGCGAAAAAAATTTGAAACTGTTTGCAAACTGCAGCATCGAAGGCATGCATAAACTGCGAAATCCTGGCAGGGATCGATCTCAGTGAATACATAGACACACAGTTTATATTGCACGAACACGCAGTTCCGGTCTCCCCGAAATAGCCAAACCACATCACCGGAGAGAGGCACCTAGCAACTCGTGAATTTTGAGCTTGATCTTTCCCAGATTCAACTTGCGTGGAAGTCTCGCCACGATAAAGTTAATCAATTTTGAAGTAATAAGCAGAGCCGTGCAAAGGATCCCTGGGGGGTCCTGTTGCAAAGGTAAGAATGGGGTTCTTTGCCAGTTTATTATTAATTTAATATTAAGGAAGCTTTAAGGGGGCTAGAAAATGTAATAAAACGGTAGAGGGAAGTAAATTATATTTATGTAGTAAGTACATTTTTATATATAACAAGAAAGGTCGGATGCACAACAAAATTGTGTAAAATTTAAATAGAATTCCGTAATAAAATATAAATAAATTAAAAATAGAAGTGAGATTTCGCAAGTTATTATTTAAATAGTTATATACGGACCGGCTTGTCAGCTGCGAAAAGGTAAAATCTTTATTTTCTGCAGTATTCGTCACAGGAGTTAAAAGGAATCATGCGGAGGAAGAATCGGAGGGGACGGCACCTCTTTTTCCAGGAATTTAATTACAATGGGATTGAATATTGGATTTTTCCACAGGCGAAATTAAATGTCCGTGGGACCGTCGATACAACCGGCAGAAAAGATTTATTAATAGCCCCGGAGCAACAGCTCGATATTCTGTAATCGAGTCGTAGGCGAGCATTTCCACGCGACGTCGCGCCGTATCGCGTAATTTGCGAGATATCGCGAGAGGGCTTGTACGATCCCAGCGAGGTATAAACGTGACAGAATAAGGTGATCTCCCGTGAAACGATGCAAGTTGTCGATGCGTATCCGTTCGAGCAAGAATCCAAGTTATGCGAATTAGACGATACCAAGCGGAGCGTCATAACGTGGGATGGCATGTCCACTAATATCTACATATTTAATAATGTCGTGGTATAATAAATATAGTTCAAGGATGTAATTTTAATTCACGCTATAAAAAAGGTAATTTGCCTCAATCGGAGTCAAGGTCTGCGAAAGGTAATTTACGTTCAACGTGTCTTTTTTTTATCTTTGTTATGTAACTATTATAATCCATCAACTTCTAGTCAATTGCCCTCGTATCTCGATCAGCGGACTGCATGCTACCTCTAGCGTTAATATTAATTTTTCAGTCAGTTAAATTTAGGTAAATGCTCGTAAGAAGTTCAATTAAATTGCAATAAAAAAAAAAGAAAATAGCTCTACTGGTAGCCTTGAAAGCGACATGTTACTTTGTATACTGTCCTTCGTAGTGAATAGAAAAAAATAGGCGTTTCTCAAGTTACGAGACAACTGAGAGAGAATAGGGAGCTAAATCATCCCTTCTCGAAGTCGTGCTTGGAAGTCGGAAAAGCTACGCGCTCATTCTTTCCCGTTACTTCATAATATATCAGATTCGACCGCAATGTACGGGCGTATGAGTGTGCCTACGTATATGTAACCGAGAGAGCCAATCCTTAATAGCCGTTTCCGCGTAACGTGCCCGAGGCTCATAAAAGATTCGCGCGCTCTCCTCGTCGCGAGCGAGAGAGACGCGGGATATTACCTTCTTCTCCGGGGGTGGGCGCGCTCCGGGTCGATTGATTGGCACCCATTTTTCCTCAATGGACGTCGGACGTACGCGTCGGCGACCGTTGCAAGTCGCATCGGTGCGAGCGCACTGCCGACGAAGACGACGACGGTGAGATCCGGTCGGCGCGGAGAGTCTCATATTTCCGCATTGTCACGGCGCCGCGACGCCTCGTCGCGCGGTCCCACCTTCATCGGGCGACGCGCACCATCTTCGACGAGAAGAGAGGACGGACAGGGCGCAAGAAAGGGAAGGTGGCCGTCACCGATGCGCCAAATGGCCTCTCGTTAAATCCGCGTCGGTCGCTGATCGAGGTGATCCCCCACGATTGAGAAGGGGGGGAGGAGAAGCGGGGTAACAGGCGAGAGTGACGTCGGCGTTAATTAGCAGCGGCCCTCCGCTGCTGATTCGAGCGGCTTAATTAACGGGTCGCGCTAACGCGTGGGATAATTGCAGGCACCCGTCGGTGAATCCCTCCGACGACAATGCGGGACTTGCTCGTGGCGCATCGAGTCTTACTTGCGACGGCGACGACGACTGGTCCCTGTAACGGATGTATCCTCTCGTGATTACTTCTCGTCACTTTAATTGATTTCGGTTGAAGCTAACGGAGCACAGCAAGCGTCAGCAGTGTCGTAACGCGACGAACGATACAAGGTGCGTCGTCAAATTAGCGCGAGCTTACACCGGATTGATTGGAAAAGACCAGGCTTACCTAATCAAGCCCGACTGTAGTTTCCGCAAACACACATTTACGTGACCTTCAATATTAAATATACGGACGTGCAGCAGATTAAAATTCTATTAAATATACACATTGAAAAATATACATTTAACGCTTTACGCTCTTATGTCAAGTTGGCAAAGACATACCTACTGCGTTGCGGTAGCCCGTCGTATAATTTTTCAAGCATTCGAATTTGCATGCGATTAAATAATCTAACAAACTGTAGGTATTTTGGAGATTTCTATAAATTTTTCCAAGCAGTAAAAATTCTTTGATTCGTGTTGGGCCAGTCGATTTATGTAGGTAGAGTTGAGAATGAAATACTTGATTGTTTTGCTCATTCACGTGAAATGATTTGGAAAAGTTAAAATGTATAAGCAAAGAGTTCAATGTAATAATACAAGAAGAAGAATAATGATTTTGTCTATTCGCGTTTTTTCGAATATCGACGAGATGTTAAAAACTTTCCGCGCGCGTGGACGTCGAAAATAAATGGAGGTGAGCACGCGTATTTACATACGGACAAAGAAAAATGTGGGAGCGATAAAAAAAGGGATATACGGGTAACGGTGAGATGCAGCCTGGTTTTTAAAATGCTAAAACTATCCTCTCCCCCCCCTCGCCCCTCTATTGAATGACAATGGAGAGCTCTTTCGCATGAATGAGTTCTGGAGCATACTCGTGGGTAGTCTCGATCGGGCACGAACAATCGCTCGTTTCTACCCATCAACGAGACAACGGATTCTCCCGTTGTCGTCACATTGTATTAATCGGCGGATTTCTGTGCGCGCGATTCACTCGCGCATCACCGGCGAGCGGACGGGACGTGCGCGGCGCCAATTAACAACGTTGATTAGTTAGTGCGGGCACGGCACAAACACGTTGATGTACAGATGCCACCCGAAATTGCAGCTCGAATGGAGACCGGCCCTTTGCGTCAGACGTATATACGCGCACACATTGCACACGTATTACTCGATTACACGTGTCCGATTATGAATCTTCATCTTCGACCCAATTACATTCACGGTCGCGCCGAAACGCGTTTCATTACCTTTCGACATAGGCCCGCGATTGTTTTAACTGCCATACTGGGCAATACGTCGAGAGAGATAACGAGCAATCAACCGCGTGATCAACCGCGCATGCATCGTCGAATGAGCTTCTATTACAAAATCAGAATGCATCTGTAAAAGAATGGAGGATCTTTGAAAGAAGCGAAAAGAACGATACAGTTGATCGGAATGGCTGAAACAATTTACAGCGACAAGCAATTTTTAAATAACTAATAATTACATAATAACTGTAGTTATACATAATAATGATAAAACTATAGTTATATAATTTAATTACAAATAATTAATAATTTAATTATATATAATTAATTAATAATTTGTTAATTATAAATTTGTAATACAGTTTTATTATATAGCTATAATAGTAAGATTTTAAATAACTAGAATGTACTTGCGAAATTTGTAATAATTTGTAATAATTTATACGCGTTGTAATAATCAATGCGAATATAAAAAAAGTAAAAAAAAAGGCGGATTTTCCATTCATTCGAGTCCGGGTATGTGATTACCGCTATATACCGAAGAAATGTATTATTTTTCGAAGACGAAGGTTATTAGGTTGTATACGGAGAAAATATGCAAAGGTACTCGCGATCGAATTTAACGACGAGAGTGCGACGATATTAAATTTATATCGTCGGGGAGGCATGTCGGGGAACGTGATGCCGCCCCGCGTCATTGCACACGTGTCGTTCCTCGAGGTGTCATGTACGATGCTGAAGCTTCGGTGTCGACGCGTTTCACATTACTTGGCGCATGTAGGGCCACTCACATCATGCACTAGCTATGTCTTTGCGAAGTAACATCCTTACCGCAACCCGTCATTAGACGAACGAGCCGCGACGGAAGCGTAATAGCTTTACGAGATCATAGCGTCGCCATCCACTCTCGTTTAATTTTCCCTTTATCTGAGTCGCGACGATCCATGCGCCAGATAAACAAATCGCAATCCCGATATGATTGATCTCGATAACAATGCGGGCGTAACGAATCTAAATTGCTTCTTGGCCTCTCTCTTGGTTCCAAGATACGCGGCAACGCTAAAACGCGCCACGGGCGCAAATTTACGACGTCATTTGTATTAAATAGTAACGCCGCGATCCGTAATTGGTCTATAATTTCCTCTCGCGGGAGGATGAATCGGGGATTGTGAAAAATAAAGGTATAAAAATAAAGTCTGACGCGGATATCGGAAAATTATTATCGTTTAATGCCCGCAACACAGCAGGGCGGTTGCAGCTGGGGATAAGTTTCTATTTTTTTTCCCCCTCCTATTTCGAGGGAGCGAAACGCATTAACATTTAGAGCGCCCGTAAAAGGATCGTAAAAAAAGTTTTTCCGCAGCCTCCGAACAGAAAAAAAAATCGGCCGCGAAGAAAACTTTCCATTACAGATAGGCAAACTTCGCCCATGACGGAGTTCTCTTATCGTCGGCAACATCGAGGTTGTCGAATAAACGTTAGAGAGCGAATGAATCTTCCCCGTGTACATATCTCGACATTTTCGTTCGATCTCGACGCTCTCGCGATGTTAGTTCGGAATACACATTTGTCGAGGCATACATCACCTATTCATCCATCATGCTTGCTTTACCATCGCGTTTTATCAATAGAAGGAACGTGGTTGCGCGTGTTCCTAACAAAACATCGTGATGCTCGACATTACGTTAAATGCAGGGGGAGAAAAAAGGACTCTCTAAAAGGCGAACGCGGGGGGGAGAAGTAAAAAATAGCCGTATTAAGGAAAATTAATATCTCCCGGTGAAACATCGAAGAAATATGTTATACAGAAATGCAAGTAACATCAATTTCGAGAATATCACTAATTAATATATTGTTGTATACCGAGGTTCTTCGATAAATCATTAAATTGTTGTTAATTAAATGAATTTCGAAATGTCAAGGATTCACCCTGGATTCCTCTCTCGTCCCTTCGTTCAATTTACTTGATTTGCATACCAATCTGCAAGTAAGCTTTAGGCGCGGGCGAACGTTCTGCGCTATACTCCCGCGACCTTTTCACATCAATAACCGCGCAATATTGCTTGGAAAAACGAAATAAAGGTCGAATAACAGTTTCTGTGTTAAATGTCAAAAAACTATTTTCTTTTATTTCAAAGTGTACATTTCGAACAGAGTAGCGCACAGCTCTGCACGGCAGACTCTGTGCGGCGAATTTCGACTGCTTCCGTTAAAAATCCAATCGAAAAATCGGCTAAAGCAAAACGCACGCGGTCTTTGATCTCCACTCGAACGACTTTCGGCCCGTTCGCCCACGGCATCCCCGGAGGTGGGTTCCGAATTTGTCAAGTAAGCGCCGACAGGGCAGAGAGCGCGTGTCATTTACCACCGCGTAAAACCGAGCGGAGGGAAGATCCGCGGAAAATTTGCTTATTCGTGACGCCACTGGATCAAACGCGAGCGTCCTAATAAATTAGTTTCGTGAATTACTTTGCGTCACAACCGACGTCAAATCCGATTTACACGTACAAGTGGATTCGACAAACTTGTTCTCTGACGACGCAGCAGAGGCAGCCTCTGCCGAATTCAATTACACGGCGTACTGTGTAATACGCTAAACAGCGCATTTTTAAGCGGTACAAAAGTTCGTGCGGGGAAAAAAGTAGATGTGCTATTTTCCGAAGTTATGTACAGAAGAATTTCCCTGCATTGGAGAGCTCCGCCGTTTTAGGCAACTTCGCTAATTAGAACTGCAAATTTCTCTGCTGCAAAAAGAGATCCATAAGTGCATACCTGTGCATCGCATAAGTGACAGCGGATCTTCATTTCATATTCTGCCCGATCGGTTACATGTTTTACATGCTGCGCAGCATACTTATGAATTTTATATCCATATTATACATCAAAATACAAATAACATACATATTAAGTAATAACATATTTGCAAAACTTCACGCGATCTATGTAATTCGTGTCAGATTTGAGGAATTCTGTTTAGATTTGATATACCGTGAACTTTAATAAATATTTGATATATGTGCATATTTCTGATTTTTTAAATGTTTTTCACAGTTCACAACACACAGAATTATAAACAAAATTTCATCCTAAATTCCAGGAATTGTAAACAATCTACAGTGAACGTCAGAGAAAACATTATTTCAAACTTTAGATTAAAAAATGCTGATGTCTAAAATTCTATTTTAACGTCTAGAATGAAGACATTATTTTTTCCTGGAAGAATATTGTGAAGTAGAAAGTAAAACAGATCATTTGAAGTCTAAATTAAAGAGATAGCGGCGAAATTCTCTCGTTAGACTAAAATCGAGCGCGATTTTGATAAATATTCATAACAATTGAATCTACAAGAACACTGAGAGAGAGAGAAAGAGAGAGAGAGAGAGAGAGAGAGAGAGAGAGAGAGAGAGAGAGAGAGAGAGCTCAAAGATATAATGCATAAATTACACATTACATACAGAAAATTAATACGCCGCACGTGTCGTACTAGCTGACTTTTTCAGATGTTCTATATAATGCGCGTTGTCGCTATTCGTTCCGCAAGCAAAAGAAAAGCTTTCTTTGATGCTCCCTACAATCAGATATTGAAAACGTCTAAAGGCTGTCCTAATTTTCTGGGTATCGTTTCTACGCTTCCAGGCACCTATTGAGGCTGCTCGTGCTATCGGAAGCGATATTTGCGAACGCGGCGGCGCAGACGACGAGGGACAGGGGGAGGGGGAGGGGAAATACGCTCTTTCGTCCTTTATGCAACTTACGCGACCGTAAACATCGAAATCTGCGAGACCGGGAAGTTAGGAAGGAGCGTTTATAACTTGCAAACAAGAGCGCGCACTCCCACATCGAAGTGGCTTCCCTCAATTACAATGCGCCTCCGAGGCGGAGCCGAGTCACAGAGTTGTAGCCGCGTTGCGAACAGGCGTTTTGAAGTCCGCTTCGTCAGATGAGATCTCTCTCAAAGCGTCCCGTTACGCGTTCCCTTTTTTTTTCATTGTTGTTGTTATTTCGACCATTTCCGAATGGATAAAATTCCTTCGACAAAGTCGAAGTATCGCAATAGTTTACCACTCCGTCCAACTTCCGAGAGATTGCGAACGAAACGCGCGTTTCATAAATTCCACTTTTCGTATATAATCAATATATCAATAAGTAAGAAAAATATTTCGTCAATGAGAAAGATAAATTACAAGAGCCGCGAATTAACTTTGTAAAATACGCACGTGGTTGCCTCTGGGCTTCTCGTAATTAATTTTTGTAATTAATTGCAATACCATTTGCCCGGAAAATCCACTACTTCGGAGGGATTAAGTTTTCGCATTGTGCGACTTAATCTTCCGGTCGGACTGCGAATAAATCTTGATGATATAAATCTAGTACGGCAAACGGACCCGGCGAGGTTTATAACGTAATAGCGATTTCATTTCTTGATAGCGTATGCCTATCTGCATTTCGATGTTAAAGCGCAACGTCGCAAAAGCAAATATACGGGACAAATATACATTGAGTTGTATACCGGTTCTATTTGTGCCACTATATATACTGACAGCCTTTGTACAAATATAACGATAACGATTTCTTCGTTCAACCTCGCAGTTGACTCTTCCGCCGCGGCGGCTATAGAGCTTTAATTACGAGGCAGTCTAAGATTATGAGATTTTAAGTTTCTAAGACTCGAAGCCTCCGAGTCGGGGACGTTACTGCTGAACTTGGCTCGGAAAAAACTCTATAGGTACAAATGTAAAAGTATTAGTTGTAAAAAATTAAGAGAGATATAGCAGATAGATGTAACATAGGGTACAGAAGGGGTAATTTGAATAGTGGGATAATTTGGATAGTAGTAAGCATTTGCAAGAATTTCAGAAAAATAAGAGATTTTATGATACATTCTATTATTATATCAGACATTGATATAATGAAATGATATAATGATATAACTTAAAATTTTTTATTTTTCTGAAATTCTTGCAAATGCTTACTACTATCCAAATTATCCCTGCACTATTCAAATTACCTCGCTGTACCCTATATTAAATTCCTATACTAAATTTTCTAACACACAACCCTCGATCCGCAATTTATTGATGAGCCAGTAATTAACAGAGAAATTTATATCGATAATGTCCTGGTTACATTATCAATAAACATCTCGCCGTAATATGTAACACCGACAGCGCCTCTAAATGAAACAGTAATCAAACTATTGGACATCCCACTAACGTAACACGTGCAACGAAGTCGCGAGTGATTTCCTAAATACATTAGTGCCGTTTGGTGCAACAACCATGCAACTCGCGTAATTAAAATCTATATACAGTGTGAAACTATACATGGAAACTCTCTCTCGTTTCGATTATTTCGACAGAGCAATAATATGTACGCTGGGCAAACTTTACTGATGATATTTGCAAAGTAATCCAAAAAGCAATTTCAAAGCGGTGACAATGCGAGAACTGAAAAATAATAATGCCTTGATGATAAACTGAAGGCGACAGCGTCAGGAACAGAAATGACAATCGATACATCAAGCAGTTTTCGCGCTCCGGCGAAAACGTCTAAGAGACAATCAACATTCTCAGACAGAATACCAATATGTCTTCTCCAGCATCGAGCGGACTTTCAGCCTCGGCCGCGCGCGTGTCGACACGATTACAACACCAAAAACATTTCCCGCGTGTCGGGGGTGTCGACCAAGTTCTGCGTGTCGCGTGATCGTTTCAGGCCGCACGAGAGGCTGCACCTGCTGCAGGGCACACTCGGGGCACCACCGAGGGGAGCGAAAAACTCTCGATGTCCGCACGTCCCGCCGCGCGGAGGCTGCACCGCGCGCGTTTCTGCGAAGCGTTTCGCCGGAGAAGCGTGTGGAGAGGATCCCGGGACGTGGCGCGTTCGCGGTCGCGGTCGGCGCACGAGTGTCGAGCCTCGGACGACGAGCGTTCCTCCACAGCCGGCGGTTGCACGACGGTGCTAGGAACGCGCAACGGCCGCCCCGCGGTCGGCCGCGCGTCTGCGCCCGAGCGGATCCGCCGCGATACCGCGTGCCATGTGCACGAGGACCGGGGGATACGGAGGTGGACGAAGGGCGCGGGGGAGGGTTGGTGGAACGAGAGGCGAACATGAGCCATGAGGCAGGGTGCCCCGGCTCACTCCCGTGTAATCCGCTATTCCGCGGCACGGAAGACCGTATAGTACGAAAAGTTATGATACGAGAGAAATAAGAAAGCGGGATGTAAGACATTGCAGATAACCGGCGCTTTCGCGCGTTTCCACGGACGGCGGACGCGCGAGGGTGTGGAGAGTGAGATGTATAAAGCGCGGTAAAAGTTGTTCAGACTTGACCGACGCTTTTGCGCGCGATCGTCGAGAGGATCGAAAGGATAGTGGTGTACGAAGGTACACAAGAGAAACGGAATAATTTAAATATTCAGAGCAGCCTACGTACAGCGCTTTGCATAATTCGCGCGGTGCTTACGGCACTTGAGAAATGGATTATAGGACGACGAATAAGGGAAACGAGGCGCGGTGGACCGCGCGGGAAGATGACGAGGAGGCGAGAACGGGAATATTCCGGCAACAGCCCCCTTCCGATATCCCTTCGTGTATACGCGCGAATATCATGCTCGAAAGTCGAGTGGCGATACGTGAAAATAAGGCAATGGTTGAAGATGCGAGAGACAAGATGTAAATATTCAGTATGTGCATATATATATATTATGTGCACGGCACACACTACATAATTTATTTGCCTTGCACGAAGTACGCCGATGCGGAATATGGTGTAGGAATATTATATGAGGGTGTAGAACGAGGGGATAAGAGATATAAGATAAACACTCGGACCCTTTTAGCCGACATATCTAAATGGCTTCCCCACCCTCAACCCCCTCTCCGCGAGCCGAGGGCTGTCGGAAATCTTACTGCGTAAATTCTATCTAATTTCGGCATTTCACTGTATATATATGTATATATAGTATTAACTCCGTATAACGCGCGCCCTCCAAACTCGGAGATGCAGCTGCACTCGTCGAGCTGCGAAGGGTGACGGACGGCCGGAGCTGTTTTCTCAATGTCACCGCGAATTCGTGCCATCTGCCTCCGGTGGACGTACGTGCCGCTCGCGACGTGACACAACGTCGAGACAAACGCGGGGTCACAACCGCGGCGCGCTCTTCCCGGAGAGCTCTAAATTATTACGGTTTATTAATATTAATTCTGCATTTCTGCGTCCGCCGTCGTGTCCGACGGAAAACGATAACATCGCGTGTGAGCCGGTAAATAGAAGCCGACCGTCGAATCGTTATTGTGGAATCGTTAATGTCATTCGATCATCTGGCTGAATAAACTTTCATTATCTGGTTTTACAATCTCTCGCGAGCGTTGTCATCGCCGCTTAATGCGGACGAATCAATGACGATGAAACGCTAATCTCCACAAAACCATCTCGCGCTATAAATTTTATGCGGCGCATTTACACTCCGTGCGTTTATATCTGCATAATTCTGCACAACGAGAGATTTCAGCGTAAAATATGTCGGTAAATCAAGGAAGAAACAGGACAAAAGCAGTTTCCCTGACGTCGCGTTGCATAACAAGTGCATTGTCTCACGGTCCTTTCAGAAGAATTTTATGGCCCTTTTAATTTTGACTCGGCACACAAGTCAAGTTGTATAAAATTTCATTTTCCATTTCCGAGATCAGCGTTTTTTCTATAAATAAACACATTTATTTTACGATATTACGAGTTATTAAACTGAAATCGAATATATCGTAAAATTAGATAAAATAAGAAGATACGAAAAATAATATTAATAAGCGTTTAGAGAGACATTTTATATTAATTATGTCAGGTCACTGAAATATATTTTAATATTCCAGACAGTTTTTTGTTCGTCCGGCATTCACAGTCTCTGCGGGGCATCTCTTTCCGTAATAAAACGTAATTCCGCCCGGAACGGGGTACACAGTTATTTCGAGTGTTCTTTCTCACACCGGCGCACACGGATTTTCTCGGATTATATTCCCGTCAAAATCCGGAGCTGTACGCACGTCGCTGCGAAAAAGTCGTCTCCGTTGTTATGCCGTTCCACTCTTTTCTTCCGCCGCTCGTTACCGTGTCCATTCGTTTTGTCCCACGTCGTCGTCGTCGCACGCGCCCAGGGGTTTTCCCTTCCCACCTTTCTCTCTAGTGGAAAGACGATCTCGTTATTCTGCGCCGAGCTCCTAAATAAAAAATTCTGCCTTCCTACCGCAGCCGTCCTGCCGCCGCCGTCGCCGCCGCCGCCGCGACGGCCTCTTGAATTATGAGCGTGATCCATAAGCGTCCACCTTCGATGGCCGCCCTCGTGAAAATTCGATACGCCAAATGCAAGCACGTCGCCAAGGTCGTGGTATTTAAAATTTATTACCACAACGTCAACAAGGGAAAAACGTCACGTTGGAAACACAAACAAGGCTCCTTCTCGAGGGATTTATCGGCATAATTTTTCGGCGGGTCGATTAAATTTTCTCGCAAAAATTCTCGTTGTCGCGACTTAACAGGCGCAAATGTAACGTATGTTATTACTTGTGAACTTTTATATAACAATATGAACATAGTGGTAGTATACAAAATTCGGTAGACACGTCGAGCGATGCACGTTGCATTTTCCTACGTTACAAGACGAAGTCGGGGGGAGTGTGGAAAGTCACCGAAGGTTTATATCGGCTTTCCTTGACGTTTACAGCGCGTGCACACAGACGCGATTACTCCTTTCCCCTAAGACGCCTCTTCGGTCTAAAATTAATTCAATCCGCATTGATCAAGGAACCGCGCGCGCCGCCGGCCGCCTTTGTCCACTTCAGCAACGTCGTTTCCGCGATACAAAGGGCGCAACTTACGGGGGATCAATAACATGCAGCATAGCCGACCGACTGTGTGCTGCAGTGTCCGGCTTTCGAGTTAACGGGGCTTTTTATGCCGTTTCGCGCTAATTTTAGCCGCGCCCGAAACAACCGTCGCGGCGTGCACTCGTATATAGTTTCTTTCCCCGATAACGCGAATCTCCGCCCAAGTTATCCGCTTTTCGCGATATACAGAATCGCGTTACCGCGATTTTGCCGGGCCTCGTCAATAATTCCGAGGAAGCTGAATATTTTATCGGACGCGGAGTCGCCCGCCGCGTCTATCTCGCGCAAGTTTCCGCGCGCGCGTTAAGTTTCAAAGTTTATTCCGCGGAAAGATCCCAAGTGACGAGCTGCAGGTAACTTGGGTTTGGAAGATACAGGTTTCGAGAAGCGTGCAGATACTCGAGTGATACGCGAGAGCGACGAGAGTTGGAAATTAAATCATAATGTAAAATTATATTGTAAACAGGCGGGAGCAGTGGTAACTTCCGGAGAAATGTCTGCTCCAAACTTCGAGACGGTAGAACACACATTTGCATACGTATCGGGATGCATTAGCGGAAAATGAATTATTTCGTATTCCGTTCTGGCGTATCTATTTACAATTCTGCCTGATGCAATTTCCGAGATCACGTGATCTTTTTGTCTGAACGTATTTACGAGAAAAGAAATAAAACGTAAGAATAATGCAAAGAGATCGTGATATGTTTTGTGATAAAGGTTGGTCTATTCTTTTCATGAAATCTTCCTCTGGAAACGTAATTCAGGATAAAAGTATCGCGTATCAAAAGTATCAATTTCTTACTTACTTTTTTTTATGATATTACAATACTCTTATTTTTATCAGAAGCGTAATTTCGACATTTGCAAGAATCCGAGGCAGAATCCGAGGAAATTGTAAAAAGTTTAATTAAAACGGAGAGAAAGAGAGAGAGAGAGAGAGAGAGAGAGAGAGATACGTATTCAAACACTCGTGATATTTCTTTTCCGACTCCGTTCGCCGATGAACAAATTCCCGATTAAAAACGGTCAAAGGTTACAGATGCAACGAAGTCTCGCGCGCGGATCTCTCAGAGATCCGTTGAGTTCCCCATAAACATCGCGGCTACACTCACAGCCCTGGGACCGATCGGTACCACTCACCTGGGCGGGTTGAGAGTCACTGGCCCACTACCTGGCTAGGAGAGCGGAGAGTGTCCTCGTAAAAGCGAGAGAGAGAGGGAGAGAGAGAGAGAGAGCGGCGGCCTCGTCGGCTTGAAGGGGATAGCTGAGGACGGAGGTAGGCGGTGTTTTAAAGAAGGACACCCGATATAGGAGGCATTGTACTCGGCGAACGAACCAGCGTCAGGCGCTTGGGTCCCAGGTGCTGGAGGGCAGTCGAGGCAGTCTACTCGCCACGAGCCCAGGGCACAGCGGGCAGTGAGCGGTGTACGGGTTTGCCTGCGCTTCCTCCTCGGCAGTTGGCCAGTTCAGGTGTCATCCCGCGAGCGCGGCGGTGAACGCGTCACGCGAGTGTGAACCGTGACGTGCGTCTTGTCTCTCACTCACTCTCTCTCTCTCTCTTTCTCCGCCGTACGTCTATCCGCTTCGGGGTACCGCGGAGGTTCTCCACGAGAGAGATCAGAGAACCTCCGCGTGTGGGAGGCGAGGAGAGAAGGCCAGCTGGAGACGGAGAGGAAGGGGGGGGGGGGTGAAGAGAGAAAGAACTTCCTCCCGGTGGGTACTCTCGCGTGTCATCATCCGCGCGGCAGTGTCATAAACATCCGTGGCAGTGCGACTCCGTCGTCAGTGGGTCGAGTCATCGCGAGCGAGCGGATTCCGCTCCTCGAGGACACCACGGGGAGCGGCAGGAGTACGCGCTGGCAGGACAAGCGCCGCCGCCGCCGCCGCCGCCGCCGTTGCCGCGAGGGAAACCTGTTTGCGTGGACGATGCTCCGATCCTGACTGACGCGAAAGGATAGGGCGCCGCGGGTTCAGGTAATGCGGAAAGAGAAGCCGCCGCCGCCGCCGCCGCCGATCGGGCGCGCGACGAAATCATGTGAGGAGAAAAAGAGAGAGAATAAAAAACGTACGTTTACCGCAAACCGTCTGTGTAAATCGTAAAAAGTATCGTGCAATACTGAAAAGATATACGGGAAGGTCTTACCGCGCCAGGTGTCCTGGCAGCGGCGGAGGTAAAAGGCACGACGAGCACAGGCACGTCAGTTAGTTAAAGATTTCCCCTGCGCCGATCTTTCCCTCCGAGCTGATGGATATCCCGTGTTCCCGTAGTAAAGCGACGTTTGAAACGGACCGTCTGTGTTGGTGCGCGTGCAGTACGTATGTGTGTGTATATATGTGTGTGTGTGTGTGTGTGTGTGTGTGTGTGTGTGTGTGTGTGTGTGTGTGTGTATGCAGGTTTCACATGCGAGTCCGAGCGTAAGAGTCAATGAGGAGTGATTCGTCGTATACATATACCTAACAGTTCAGAAATCCCATTTCCATCCAATTCTCTCGGGGCAGGACGGCTCGTTTTCGGTGTAGGCGGAATTTTGACTGAGCGAGTCAGGATCAATTCGAGTTAATGTGCGCTTTTTGAGGAGACACATCTTGGATAAGATACACGAGGTGAACGAAGGTGAATATTTCATTGCGTCGTTAAGAATTCGATGAGATATATGTTATCGCAATCACGTAATTTGGGAAAACAGCCGATGAAACGTATAACATATCGCGTTGAAGTCTACTGTAAACACCGTGTCGCTCTGTAGCGCTATTAGCAATTCTGTACTATATATAGAGCGGAGCTGTCGCACTTTCTCTTGTGATTCGCGGAGGTAGAGTAGGAATTAAAAGAACAGCGATTATTTTAAATCATTATTTAGTAGCGATCGGAAAAATGGAATTATTTGAACGGAAAGAAACTTCGAACGATATATAAAATAATGAAATAGAGATTATGTGCATAAACAGATGTCGAAAATTTAATTTTATTAACCAATTTCAAGCAGCAAACTTTTTACGTAAAAAATATACGCTGATTTACCATAAGTTACTTAATCCTAGATATACACATTAGGGTCCCCGGGACCAGCAAAACTTTCTCGGTTTGGCATTTCTGAAATTGGAAGGGGAGGGATTTAGGATATTGTAAAAAAGTTTGGGATCTCCTCAATAGGAAGACGTGTTGACGCGCGGCAATTGTCGCTCAACAACCGAGCAGCGAACAGTTGAAGTGAACGTGGGGTTCCCGGGACTGCTCGCAGTTTTGTTAAAAAATTAAAATATCGGATTGCCAAATTTTTTTGTTATTATTTCAAGTAGGGTAACTGCCCCTATTAGTGTGCTTTTATATTTAAATAAGTCATAAAAACTGGTATAAATAGACAAAGTGTTTTTTTTATTAAATTAATACTTTAACTTAATAAAAAAAAAAAAACTTTGTCTATTTATTTGTACCGCAGTTTATTTTTATGACTTATTTAAATATAAAAGCACATTAATAGAGACGTACAGGCACACTAATAAGGACAGTTACCCTATGCGCCTTTCAGAATTTTCAAGGATTTTTCCAATCGGTCTATAAACAAGAAATATGATTTTTTGAAAAAAGATGCTAAATCGAGATTTTTTCGCGTTTTTGAACTTTCCTTTTTCTTTGAACTCGTATATCTTGGAACTCCTTAATTCTATCGACTTTTATTAATTATAGACTTGTTCCTTGATTAATTCTCTATCGATTAAAAAAAAAATTAATTAAAATAAGTCTATTTTTGCTGGAATTACAATAACAAGTATGGATGGGGTCTTCGAGACCCAAGTGTGTACTTTGCGTAGGCAAAATAGGAGTGTGTACTCTTAGGGTTAATATAAAGCGATTATCCGATACATCCGATATATCAAACTATTTATTGAGAACATAACTTTCTATAAATATTCTATAAAAAATTATTGATCAATATTACGTATTGTTAAGAAATACTATTCTCTTTGCTATTATTTTGTTAATCTCCGCTCATCTAAAAATCTTCAGAAAATTTCGCGAAATTATCTTCGCCACGTTCCAAATAAACGTACGGTTATAAGCGAGCGACCGTGTGAAATGAGAGTGATGAAGATAGCGTGCTGGAGGCTAAACAAACCTATCAGTTTGCTAGCTTCACATGGATATTTTATCTATCCGGCAAATCCGTCGGCTGTGCCTGTAGCGAATTCGGTTGAATGCACTCATACGCACACATATGATACACTGGGTGAGCTCTGCGAACCGGCCGCGTACGCAAATTTATCCAAGTATACTCGAGTATTTAGGTAAACGTGGCCTATACGAGCGCGTTTTGATCACCGGAGCGGTCCAGCAGAAATTTTGCCAAACAACAATGACTTACACCGGTGTACAGTTGTAGTTGTATCACCATTGGCACCGCTGCAGTCGGGACCACTCGTGTTCTATCACGCGTTACGATTTTGTGTCAATTTGCGCGCACCGGTGCACGCTATTGCCGCCGATCGAATCCATCACGCGAGAGATATATATGTAGAGGCGAGTTCGCCAATTTTTTTTTTTCCGAGTTAACGACGCGGGACCAATATCGCGTCATCATTTCCAAGCATCGCGATTCCGAGAGGTAATGGAAACTCGGAAACGCGAAACGCCAACGTACACCGCGTGCACCATTTTCCCGTACGATCGAACGGTAAAAGGAAAAGCTTCTCATTTTTCTTAATAATCGGGCAGCGAAGTTGAAGAAACTTTCAGTCGACGGAAGTTTTCTCAACTTCGCCGTCCGAGTATTATTACGAAAGAAAAAAAAAACAGATGATCGTTCGCCTAATAACGCCGTAGGGTCTCTTTTTCTCGATCCTTCCTCCTCGGCCCTTTTCGGCGGGCACCACGCTCGCCGTCTGTCGCACAGCGGGGCCCGTCGACATTGACGATAACAGGGGTCTCGTATGCGAAGAAACGAACGCAAGGAGAGCGGAGCGCCGAAGCCATAGTGCGCGAGTGCGACGAGGACGGACGACGACAGATGCGGCGGCGGCGGCGGCAGCGACGGCGGCACACATGATGAAGCCCCGCCGCCGCACCGCTGCCACCGCCGCCGCCGCTGCCGCCGCCGCCGCCGACCGTCGTCGCCGACGTCGCCGCTGCAATGCGACATTCGACCATAATACACGACGCACACGCTTTCTCGACTGCCACAAGCGTGCGGAACGCTCGTCTGTCGCGCCGCGTTCACGGGCCCCCGGCGTCTCCCGTCTGTCTCTTTGTTCCCGCCCGTCTTTCACGTACGGTCGTTGTCGTCTCTCCCGCTCGAATCGATATATATATACATATATACGTGTATATGTAATTCGATGTCGATCGGCGAAGAAGTCGGCGACCGTGGAGACAGACGGAGCGAATCGCGCCGCCAATGAGCGAGCCGATGCAATTCCGTCGTCGTCGTCGTCGTCGTCGTCGTCTCCTCCTGCCCATCGGCATCTCCCCTCTTATCCGTCGGGAATTCGCCGGGGGAGTTCCCGCTGCAGTGGTCCCGAGTGCATTCCGGGGAGGGGGAATCTTCGGGGAGGCGAAAGAAATTCGTCGGCGAGGAATTCTTTGTCGCGGTCGTCGCGGAACGGGATCGCTTCGCGCTCGGACCGAATCGGATTGATTCTAGCGATTGTCCTCTCTTCAACGATCGACTTCCGTTCGCGCAGCCGAGAGAGAGAGAGAAACGATTATTCGTCGGACATTTCGAGCCTCAAGGAATGCCGATCACGCGAAGAATCCCGCTCGTGCCCGAGAAACACGTGGAAGATCTTTGAGGCAACGTCGCTGCAATAAATACACGGGGGGAAGAGAGAGAGCAAGGAAGAAAAATCCAGAGAAAGGACTCCGCAGAGTTGACTACACTTCAAGCTCGGTTCTATAAAAATCCAGCTGCATCGAGAAGCACGAGGAGAATCCTCTTCGATGGGACAGCCATGCAATAAAAAAAAAAAAAAAAAAAAAATCGCACTCGGGGAAAGAAGAACGAAGGAGGAATTGCAGTGAACATTCTTTGAGGCATTTGGTCCTGGCGAGACTCGAGAGCCAAGTAGGATAAATTATTTCCAAGCTTCTTGAAGACTTAATTTTTCTTTTTCTTCGAGACACAAGTGGAGCAATTAATGGATATTTAACTGGTACCTTGAGGATCCGACGCGATTGGCTAATCGGATTTATCAGAAAAATTGCTACAAGTCCAAATCGACATTGAGCGACTGCGAAATCCGGGCTGCGTTTTGACGATTTGGAAATCGCTCGGTTTACTTCGGGGGAGAGGAACTTACTCGCGAATATACACATCTCGGAAATTCTGTAAACGCAATTGTATTATTGTACCGCGAGAGAGACACGGTTTCGAGGCTGCTTGCCTTCTGATCGAGGGAGATTGCACGGCCGGATATTTGATTCGTTACATAACACACCCGCAACAAACAGCCGCGGAAACAAAGGAGCCGCGTGGAAGCGAGCTTCGGCTTCGGCCGCGAGAGAGATTGATCACTCTCCCGCCGACGCTCGTCGACGCGTGAGAACGATCTTCTCGCCTTGCAACGTTTCTCTCTCCTCTCTCTCTCTCTCTCTCTCTCTCGCGAGGGGGAAGGGGACGGAAAGCGAAACGGGTGCGCGGAGAAATGATCTGACAAGACATCGAGACAACACAGCGCGACGACAACGACACGACAATGACGACGATGACGACGACGCAATGACAACGACAACACGTCACGAAGGTCGAGCCCACGTGATACGCGGCGTTTAGCCGGCGCTACCGCCGCTACCAAATATTGTGGCTGCGCGATACGTGACGTTCGGCGTTCGGCGGCGGGACGTCAGACGTGATACGTGAGACGCGTGTCGGCTCGTCGCGTGTCGTCGTATCGAGGAACACGACGACGTTATCGGTGCAAGGAAGTTGCGCTCTCTGATCTACCCCGATCGACTCGCGCGCGCCGGGGATGGTGACGAGCGCTCGCACGTGAAGCGAAAAAGTGACAGTGTTATATCGTGAATAGGAAGTACCTAAATGATCCCCAAGTTTCGGATCATTTCGAAGATCTCGCAGTTAAGAAAGGATACGAGTGGAGGCCGATGAAAATTAAGTGAGTAAATGCGACGATGCGATGAATTACACATCACCGAGGTCCGCGACTTTATTTATTTACGGAGCTTTTAACGAATCTGATTTTATCTCGTCGGTTTTACCAATAACGTCTTTACGCAAACTTTCGAACTTACGATTATAAATGCATGCAAAAAATCTGAAATATGGAATTATCTGCAAGTATCTGGAAGTTCTGTTAAAGCGAGCTTTTTGCTTGAGATTGTAAATGTGAAGGAAGGCTTTATATATATAGTTACCGTTCCCGAATCCCCGCGCGCGAGAGAGGAGTTGTTTATTTCAAATAACTCGGAGTATCGTTGTTGTCATTTCGATGATCTTTACGAGAGGGGAACTGAATTTACTGGACTTGATTAATTGATGAGTGCGAGTGATCAGTGAAGTAAATTCTGCGATGCTATACGTCGCGTAACATTGATCGTCGCGTGTAGGCACGTCTCAATTTGGATAAGGAAATTGATGAAGCGAGTACACCCCACACCTGTCTTGCTTTGTCTTCGCTAAAAGTTTTGCAGCAAATTAGTGGGGAAACCTCGCGATGCACGAAGCGACGCGAAGTTTGCGCACCGGCGAACCTCGCTTCAACTGTGTGTGAGTGAGACAAATAACGGAGCGGACATTGTTCCGCATGGCGCAACACACGCAGGCTTATCCAGCACGCGTGTGCACGCCGAGAAAACTATTTCTGTAAATTCCGATGAGCGGAGAACACTCGTCAATTCGCGGCGGCCTATTTTTATTGAATTAGAATGTTTTTCCCATTTCGCGCAGAATTAACGTTCGACAAACCTAATATTTATTTCATTTAACTCCAATGCCTCAATTTTGTAAAACAAATAATAATTATTTGTTCAACAACTTGGGGAATAAAAAATATAAAAATATTGTTGCGCGCTTTCCTTTTTTTATATGTAGGTATATATATATATTTTTTTCTATCAAACTTGGATGTAGCATAAAATAAATGAAAAATACAAATTTAATTTATGATAAAAAAACATGTTGAATAAAACAAAATTGTTGAAAAAGAGAAGTGAATTTCTGTTCGACGGTACCGTGGCGACGCATGATAGACAACAAATGAATTATAATTATAATCCGTTTTATGAGGGTCTTCCTTTGTTTCGAATCCTTAGGCGTGCATTCACTCGAACGTGACTGAAAAAATACTGGTTAGAAAGTGCAGGGTGACTCATGCTTGTATACCTGCATTGCTGCATGTGTTTACAGGGTGTCTCAGACGGAGTCATCTGTTTGATCGCAGTTTCTTTCGACATCATTTTAAACTTAAAAAAAGATTTAGAAATCGTCTTTTGCCATTTTTAAAATATTTTTTAAATATTTTAACATGAATAAATCTGCAACTGTATAAATTCCTCTTTCATCGAACTTTCTGTATTTTAATTGCAAAGCAAGAGATTTTATTGACTATCGATTAATGTCCTTCAACAAAAAATATCCATTAGCTTTGGATTTACTTTTATTTTATTCGCCAATTGTTCCTTTTACATTCCTTTTTATTAGACTAGCTTGGTTTAAGTAAAAAATTGGGAGAATTGGAAACGTTTCACGACTGTCCATTGGAATTTTGAAATTCCAATATTATCGGAGAATCGTAAAAGTCCATGACTACATATGTCGCTGGCCGAAATCCCGATTATTAAAACACCCTCGGAGAATAGGATTGAGAGAATACATGAAACACGTAGCCGTCGTTGAAAAGCCATCGGGGGTTACATCTCGTTATGAATGTCTTTTTTTCCGTTAATTTGCATGCAGCATGTGTTTACACGTTCGTTGTGTTTCCGCCGTAGAATGGCTCCCGCAGGGACACCTTCGTCAAACGGAGGCCTACCACCGCCTGTAGGACCCGTGCTGACCGGCACATCCTTTGTCAGCTATAAAAGAACCTGGTGGAGAAGAGTAGCTCCCTGCTTGGCCTTTCTTGCCGCCTTTTCCACCGCCATGGTCCTGCTCCTCATCTGGAGCGAAGCCGTGGCTTTGAGGTAAAAACTGCCGTTTTATTTTCTTCCATTAAATTAAATGTTTTCTTCAGACAAAAGGCAATATAGATTTTTTTTTATCATTTTAATATTAGAAATATTTTTTTATTTTTTAAATTTTTTATCAAATTCGCTCTTATTTTTATATCAGGAAGAGGATGATTTTTGTGATTATCGGTTAACGAGAGATTCGTGCAAATCTATTTTAAGCTTTCGTAAAATATATTTGACATGCACCGCGCGCAGGTCTCATTATCGAAGTTTTTTTCGCTTTTAATTACTCCGAGTCCCACTCGTGTATCTCGCACGGTAAAATCCCACCGTTCCGCGCCGCAGAGAAAGTCAGACGATTCGCGATTCACTGTGAGAAGCGATCGGATTTCGCGTGAGCTCGCGTGGAAAATGTTCCTGGCTCCTTTTTTTACTGCGAGAGGATTACACGATCGAGCTCCAGATTATGCAAGATTGAACACCACTGGTGTGTAGCTTTAAAGCGGACGTTCCGTTACGCTGCTACAGGAGGCAGGCGTTCGACGCGAACATGACCAGGGACTACGTGCTCGACAGCATCTCGATGGACAATCCGCAATTGATCACGTACATACGGGAGGTGCATCTGAAACGGACGACACGTCAGGACCCGCTGAACGCCAACCAGACGTCGGAGGAGAAGTATGTGGCCACCTTGTCGCAGGGCAAGACCGAGGGTGTCTACGTGGAGTACATCAGCAGGGTGAGGAATCTTTTCGTTTTATCCTCCTTCGGGAGCGGGTGATTAATGTCCCAAGTGTCACCACGCTGCGCACGTTAAGAGCCCCTCGTCCCTCCAACGTGTTGGCGTAATATCTCTTTGTTCGCGAATTTCTTGCGGTTTACGGACGGTGAAGAATAGATGGTCCGCACCGCGCGCGGGATGTTCTAAAATTCTTTAATTACCGTAAGAGAATCCTCGATCAATTTCCGGGTCCGATCATTCATTAATTAAAAAGTCGGGGGCATCGACAATTTTTCAAGTACAAGCGGGGGCTGAAGATGATGAGGTTTCCGCGGAGTTCCTGTAATTAAACAACCGCGTTTTACAGTTCATTTTAAGTGCTTTTTAGAAATTTCAGTTTCGGCTTTAATTACTGGTGTATACTTGCGATTAAGTATTAAAAAGTTACAGCGAATAATGAAATTTTCTTTACGGAAAATATTGAACTCTTGCCCTTTAAATTAAAATTGAAATAAAAATTGGCAATTTTGGAATATCCTATACAGGAGGTACATTTGCGGAAGTTTACAAAGATTACGATTTTCCAGATAATTTCGTATATCGATGTTACGTTTTTGTGAATTTTTAAAAGCACGCGCAAGATATGCTCATATGCAATATGAAAGTATCGCGAGCGTATTTTTCAAAAGAGACTCGGGAGTAGAATCCATTGAAGTGAAAATTTACGCCCTCTTGCATACGCCCTCCTTCGCGCATCTTATCAAGTTTTGGGATTGAAATTAGGGCCAAGAAGGTATACCGGTGCCTCAACAGTCTTGAAAGCTCTGCCTTAGATACCGCGCGGCTGCGCTAACAATTCTTTATCGCGCCCGCGATAGTGCACCCGTAACATTAGCGAGACACGCAAAAGTAGCGGATCATCGCCGTCGGCACGCAAGCAGTTAAAAATAGATGAGCGAGATAGATGAGCCGCGATTTATCTCGCCGCCCTCTTTACAATTCATCTTTATTAGTTGGGTGCGGGAATTAGGCCGGGGCGCCAGTTTACCGCCCCATCGCGATTCGAGCTCGCAAATCCGTCACCAATCACCGACACTGCGGGTGTCGACGTTTTTTTTTTCTTTCAGATGGGCGCGATTTCCAGTACCTCGTGGCTGGAATCCAATATGAGCTGGCGAGGTGTCGTGATATTCACCGAGCCCAAGAGCTTCTTCGAGGCGCAGCGCAGCACCAGGCACCCGCGATCGAGGGTGATGCACGCCTGCCTCAGCACGGACACGGAAACCAAAGAGGTGAGAGAGGGACGGGGCGATGATGAATTAATCGAACGCGACAAGAGTACGCTCGATCTCACGCGCGCGAACGGTATATTGCAGATAAAGTACCACCAGGAGTCGGAGGTCCAGGTCACCAAGCTGTGCGACGGCCCTAACAGCCTCGTGTCGTCGGACGACGGTTTTCCTACCACTAGACTCAAGTGCTTTCCTCTCTATAGCGTGCTGTTGGCGTACAACGCCACGACTTTGGATTACCTAAGTCTGGACAGTCCCGACGCTCCCGATGGCCAGGTGAACATAATATAAATTTAATAATTTAAAGGCTCTCGATATATATAATTTTTTTGCAATGCTTTATCCCAATTAAAAATTTTGCCATTTATTTTTCGTCCAGAAAAATATATAAAAACATACTTATTTATTTTATTGCGCATGCTTTTGTTACGCTGTCTTTAATCAATAAAGACAGATATAGTTTTACAATGATCTCGGAATTAAAATTTATTATATACGCATTAGAAATATTTACCGCGTTTTTTTCCATTATAAGATTTTGCGCATAAAAAGCACGTACAAGCTTTAAGAATTGTAATCGATCGGAGAGTTATAAAAATATAAAGCCGGTAACAGGCGTCGCAAGGGCTTTGTCGTAAGGGCAATTGAAAATTATCGCAGGTACTCGACACCATCCCATGGGACGTCGTAAGAATATCGATACTGTCGATACGGTGGAGTCCCCATCACAGCGAGGCGGAGACAAAGAGCTTCATCGACAAGATGACCAGCCGGAGGTACAAGCTCGTACACACGACAGATACCGGAAAGTCGATTTTCCTGTACAACACTCTCCTTAAGATTTGATCATTGACTCAGGTTATAGACTGGTCTGCGCCCGTATCGCAGGATATATATATATAAAATAATTTAAGCGACTCGAAATAAAACTCCACTCCACCGCGCCTTTGATCCGTTGTCGATATTCTATTTCGCCGATAAGAAATATTTCTTCCGATCGGAAACACGCGCGCGCGGATCTCCCGTTCAACCTCCCGCGTGAAGGGACGGGCTCACGTCGCGGTATCGAGAACACCGGAAGTAATCGATCGCGAAATTCGTTCTCTCCGTCGCGAACTCCCGAGTTTGTTATTAGCTTCCTTTTTTCCCGCGGGACACGTTGGACACCTTCCCCAAGCTCGTCGCAAATCTCGTGATCGCTCCCGTGATTCACAAAACAATGTTTACCCGCGATAACGAGTTCGCTGATAACAATCGTCGATCGAATCTCGAGGGACTGATTCAAGACTGAGTTCAAGAATTTCCGTTACGGTCGACACGGTGCCACGAGACCGTAAGTACTTCGAGCGATTCGTTTGAGAGTTGAGAGTCAAAACTGTAAGTAGCTGAAGATTCAGGACCCGGTTTCCAGATCGACGATAAAAACACTGGAATCGAATCTCCAGAAGAGTCCAAAGTTGCGATCTCAACTTGAGATTTCAACTTGAGATTCGAGTTTCGAAAGTGTCTTGGCTTCAACGATCCTCCGCGCGACTCCAAATCGCATAAAATCCGAGAGATTTCTCTCATCATCGACGCGGACAAGATATTGGTGGTGTTCTGAGCGCGCGTATATTTTGCGGTGATATTGCGGTGGAAACACGTGCGAATCGAGTTAAATCTGCTTCGGATATACGTGACTCCCCGTGTGATTCTTATATCTGTGTTCTTATCGCGAGACGTGCGACACGATTTTCTCTCTCACTTGCTTCCAATTGTGGTTTTCGCGTATTCGACGATCACCGACCAGCCAGATGGAGCGTTCTTTTAATTTTTTTTTCCATTCGTGTGCGAACAACGCGTATAATAAAGCGATCCCGCAGAACCGCTCCGTCGTGCCCTGCTGCGACGATCTCGCTCTCTTCGCGACGACTTCGACTTCAAATACGTCGTGCGACGCCGTATTACGTTAATACTCTGTTTATTTCGTACGTACACGCGAATGATCAACGAATAATTCACGCCAGTGATTATTACAGGCAGTTATTTAAGTATTTGCAGAATCAAAACAAGAGGAATAGACCCAGAACAGAAGGGGTAGTCGAGATTCGTGAACATGTGGCAGTCTGTGTCAAAATTATCGTTTGACTCCGCAAACTGTTTTTTTTTTTTTCACTGCAGTATGTTTCGCTGAACGGCGTATGAGAATTGTTGGATACACACAGACTGTGCAATCGTCGTTCCCAATCCTTTCGCGCGTTTATTTCTCTATTTCTATGTCAATGGGGAAATAACGCAATGTTAATTTAATAGAAAATGTCAAATTGACATTTTTTTGCGCGATGAATATTCAAAGTTTATTTGCGTGCCTGCTGCCGTGGACGTTGAGTTTATTCGGGCGCAACGTAACGTAAAATTACGTTTTATGTTAGAAGAAAGGGAAAAGGGAGGCTGGAACCTCGGCGGAAAGCGAAAAATTAATTCCTCCGTACCTGAGCTAAATAACGCGCCTCGTTTAATCTTGTCTCTGATCCTCTCGTCCCCCGTCCCCGCTCTCCTCGCAATGGATAGAGGGACTCGCGTGGAGCGCGATTGTTGCGGTGCAGGAATCGCGTCGCGACATTTAAAAGCTCCGGAAAGTTTTGTCGATCTAGAGATTATTCAAGAGGGATCTTCGCTGAGCGACGATTCTGAGACTCACGGGATTGATACGAGGATCCGATAATTCGGAGGATACGAAGGACCGCGGCGGACCACGCTTAATGGTCCGAGAAAATCCACTGGAAAATCCGAGCCCCGATAAATCCTCACTCGGGCAAACTGAGATTTCCGAGCGTCCACGTCGTTCGATTTTTCTTTCGGGAGCGCACCGAGGAAAAAAACCCAGCGAGAAGAGATCTCGCTCTCCCGTACGATTTTACGGTAGCACGTTTTTTTTTTTTTAATTTAGGGTACAAGCTAGTAACGGTAACCGAGCGTTTTACGCAGGACGCGCCGATTTTACTTTTTAAGGGACATCAATCGCGGCGTCCGGAGATCGCCGTATCGCATACGCGTCGATTCGCGTTATCACCGTGTGATAAGCGAGAGCGAGCTAATCCCGAGGTATTATTCCTCCCCTCCCCCCTTCAGGGCTCCCGCATTCGCGCTGCGCGTCCACAGCTAGAAGGAGGCGCCGATCGTCCGAATCTCACACCCGTATATATATTTGCATTAAAACACTAATCGCGTGTCACCCACATCCGATCGAATCGGATCAAATTGAGACGGGCGAAACGATGAGATCCACGATTGCAGTTCGATCCACGCGTCGATCGGTGGAACCTCGAAAACGGCACACCTGCTATTTAGTGCTACACGTGCGACGTATATAGAATGGGGACGTAAATATCTGAAAGCACAGGCCTTATTAGCGCGTAAGGTGATATTTTCTTAAAACGTTCTACGATAGTGATATAAGTAACACCAACCCGCGCAAGTGGTTCAAGTTGTCAAGTTATATCTTCGCTCGCGGTGTGCAGAGATCTGTATACGTCAATTAGACGTATCTACTAGATTCTCCTTCGTTAATTATGAACCGTCGCGGTTCGTCTCTAAAATTTTTAGAGATGAGAAATTAAATTATTATTTTTTTTTACTGATAATTATTTTCGAGCGAAAATATTCTTCAGGAAGAAAATTATTTTGCCTTCTAAACATTCAATTTCAGTCTCTAAAATTCCTTCTTTCGGCTCGCGAAACGTTTTCGCTTACTCGCATAATCTGCAAACACAATTTTCGAAGATATAACGCAAGCTCAGGAATTATCATACAAAACGCGTATATGCGCGAGAAAGATACGTGTTATAAATCAAGGCACAGCATCAACCTTTGCGCTATTCGCATTTCCGCGATAATTTCGAGCAGCGCGAGAACTACTTGCATTTGTGTGACGCACGTTTAACGCTAAAATTACAATTTGTAATTATCTAAGTAACAGTCTACAATGCTTCATTCCTAATTTAAATTGCACATTGGATAATCAGCAATGAAGGATGAGATACCTTCGGCGTTAAACGTACATCACGAGAAAGCGGGACTTCTGACTCAAAACTCCCATTGACGCGTTTACTGCGATTATATATGGATTATACATTAGGAACGTTCAGCACAACAGATACTTATAATAATGCGATTTTCTTTGCATCGATCATAGCTTCGTTGCGACGATCATCCTGTTATTTCCATTGTTAATCGCGCGAAGCGAGGCGCGCAGCATTTGAATTTTCGCAAAGTGCAATATTCGCGAAGCGGTCGGTTCGGTTTCAAAATTTTACGATGAAAGATCCGGAAGTTGTAAACATCATACTGGTTTATAGATCCAATGACTCGAGAATTTAAGATTTCAATCCAAGATCCGTAATTTTTTTTCTTTTTTTTTTCTTTTATAGGACAGTGGGAGTTTACACCTGGAATTAAAATTGTAGTTTTGGACATAGAATCTCAATACTCTCTTTGCTATTTATTTTTTGTACAGATGGAACTTTATTATTTATAAAAGTCATATTAGCCTAATATATAATATTTAGCTTTAATGTCACGATTAATTAATTTAACGATGTAAGTACTGAAATAATAAATGTTCCTCCTATATAAATAAGTAACAATATAACGGTTCGAGATGCAATTTAATTCTGGGAACGAAAATTTTCACTGTACTTAAGCGAGATTACGTTAGTGTCTATTTAGCGCAGCAATTTAAACATGTAGAGACGTAAAATTCGCGACGTTTCGCATTTGTCGGATAAATTTTGGGTTACACGAAATTATTATTCAATTGCTAACGCACACGCGGATATGCACTTACGCGAATTTTCGCTGCGATTTCATTTTGTAAGTCCTTCATTACTCGTAAGGATAATCCGCTTTTTCCTTGCCGCTTTACCGAAAATCATTCCATGACTATTCGCACATTTTTTTTCCTTTCTCTCGCCAGTGCCTGTACGCAATATCGACCTCGTTGTAGTACCTACTGCGTTTTTCTCGAGAGATATTTTCCACCTTTGTTTATACTTTTTTTTTTACAGCGTATTGTAACTCGTAAGTTTGACGTGACGAATAAGGCTGCTCGTGTTTCTGTCCTGCGAAGGGCAGCCAATCCTTTTCGAAAGAGCAATAAATTTGGATATTATATTTTGAAGTGAGAGATTACTTATTGACCTTCGTCTTGTATTGACTTTCGTCTCCTTGGAACTTACACACTTTTGTTTGCCCCATTTTGTTTTCTCATACTTTTTAATCCTCGGAAGACGTATCCTTCGGAGAACTGTGGCTGAGTCGTTCTTCGGCAAACTCGTACATTCTTATGATAGCTAATTAAAAACTGAATATAATGAAGAACAATGAATCAAACTAAATATCAATACTAAATAAATATTAACAATATATTTCGAAATGATTAATCGTATCGGCTTACATTTCATCCTCAGTGGAAATTACAAATATCATATTTGCTAATTAAGTTCTATTACCTGTCAATGTCGCTCGCAGTCGATGTAATACAAGTCACTCTTTGTTTTAGCAGTTTTTTTAACAAAAGAGAATCCAAATATAAAAATTAATTACTAGTCCAAGAAATTTCCTGTAGACAAATTAGTAATTAAGGTGTTGTCGCTATCGTTCAAATTGAAAGTTGAAATTAAGCTATAAGAATATTAAAATGAATTGGCATATATTAACAAAAACGATGGAACAAAAATATGAAATAAATTAGTGGAATACATTAACTGATTGTGAGTCATGTACCTTACGATCTCTTAACTTGAGGCGAAGATAGGCTTTCTTGTTTGTGACATTGTAGGATCAAGCGACAAAAATGAGCAAACACAAGGAGCATCGACGGTAACCTGAAGGTATAACAGAAGGGGAAAGAAAAAGAAGGGATGTATGGAAAGAGGAGAAGGAAACGAAAGAGGTGACCAAAGAAAGTTTTTTTGGAACTAGGTGGAAAAAAGTGAATTAAGGAGGCGGCGGTATCCCTCGCTGCAAGAAGCTTTGTCTGTGTCATTTAATTTTTTTAGCTCGTGTTTTTGTTTAATATGTTACATGGATTATTTCAGATATCAGTCTTTTGTCTTTTGTTATAATTGTTATCGAGACTCTGAACACCCTCCCAATTGAATGTAGGATTCTCTTGGATTCTGTGATTCGAGATGACTGACAGAGATCCACTTTTCTTTTTTTTATATCTGAGAGATACTAACAAATTCTGGTTTTTAGTTCGCGTTTAATCTGACCCACATATGTAGCGTCGCAATCGTTACACGTTATCTTATAAACCATGCATTACTATTAGTCAAAGTTTCTAAAGTTTTTTTAAAAAGTTTATAATTCATATACTTTGTACATAAAAAAGTTTAAGTATTTATATGCGGAGCATATAAATATATGAAACTTATATGCTCCACATATAAATATGATATGAAGCTGTAGCAAAACGGCAGCAATTTTTGAATTTTACCTTTTTTACACTCATGCAGCACGATGTACGAGTAATTTTTGAAAATTAACGAATATTCATTAAATGTGATCCAGCCACCACTAGTCAAGAGTTTATGTTTAATCTATTAATTTAAGTTATTTTTGCATAAATAAAATTCTTCATCTATTTAATCCTTTCAATTATTGAAATACTTTCATTATCGTTGAAATCCATAGTATCATTGAAAATTATTTATTTATTTTGAAGAAATTTTTTGCATCACTTTTAAGCTGAAAAACTGAATTTTTTTTTCCTGCCTTTTTATCGTGTTTGAGCAATGTATTTTTATTTTAATGTGATAACACAAAAGGAAAGTGATCTATCTGCTCTGGAGACTTGATTATGTGGTAGTAAAGGAAAAAAGATAAAATAAATCGAAGCATATGTATTTTTTGCTTAGAAAATCAAGATAACGTATACAACCTTTCCTATATCTATATAAACGCTTGATTTTTTGTCATTTTCAGAAGAATAAGTAGAAGCGAAGATAGCAGATAACGCGATCGCTCTGCGATATCTATCCACGATCAAATACGAAACTGATTTGCTGGCGTGATTCTGTTGAAATTCTTATTGCGTATGTTTATCTAACTTACTGTCAAACATTCCGTTTATAATAGAAAATCCATAGCGTTAATTATTTTATAAAGTGGACATTTATTATTATATTATACAAAAAGAAATATTTATTGCAATTTTAGATGAAAAATAAACTTCTTTTCGCATTAAATTCAAAGTCTAACTGATATCTCTCTTGTACCGTCGTGTTTTTGTTATATCAAAAATTATGTTTAAGTACGATAACGTGGTATTGTTTGCCGCTCCTCCTCTCCCTGAAACTTTGTCGCTTGCGAGAGGTATGAAAATGATGAATTACGTCCCCTTCATTAAGTATTTCCATAATTAAATATAGCATGCAATTTATCAAAGAAACGCGTGTCACGGAAAATTTATCGACAATATGATGCCGCGTTTAATCCTGTGACGAATGACAGCACGGCTACCGTTACCACGGTTCTGTGATCGATTTAATTTACGTTTATTAAATGACAGGCGGCGTTCGTTCGACAGAAGTTATTGGCACAGATAATAATCGCGGCGTGTATAATTTATTTAGTTAAATCGACCTCATTATCGCCATCAAATTTATTGCAAGATTTGAGAATTTCATCAAAATGTGTGTCCAACGTAATAATTCGAGCATTAACGATGACTTCATTTTGATAAGAAAATTTCCTTTATCCGTCTCACGAAATTCAGTAAAATTCTAGGAATTTTTTTTAACGAAAGCCAAAATTTTATTGGTAACGATTTTAATTATGATTGAATAGGAATAATTAAATATATTAATAATTAAATATAATTTAATATATTTGTTTGTATTTACAATAACATTTTGCGATTGTTATTATGTCAAATTATGTCGAATGGCTTAAGCTTCACGCGCCGATGTTGCGTTTCAAGAAAAATACACGCGATAAAAATGCAGTAATAACTTTTGTAACTTTTAATTCACCTCAACGTACGAGAACGTATTATTAAGCAAAAAGAGAATCGATCAATCAATGAAATGAAGATCAAACTCGATTCTTATCTCAAACAATTTTACAACCTGTATTTTTACAAATTTTTGTTTTAAATTCACTTATCAGGAAAAGTCGAGATTTTGTCGAGATTAAACGATTCGCGCAATATGTGTGAATTGTATATTAAATATAATTGTCGCGTAAGAGGAAAGCGATATTTTAATCCGCGCGTTTACAGCACAAACGCGGATTAAAATTTTTTACGTCGAAGCGAAGGGAGATGGTAACTGGAAAAAGTGGACAGGCAAAACGATGAAAATGTCTTGACAGCGCGCAGTGGTCTCCACAGGGTTGAAACGTACGTGTGCGAAATGGCGTGAGGAAGTTCAGCGAGTTACCTACATGACGCGGTGTTCCTCAGGTGCATCCGCTTGCGCTTCTCACAAGGGGAATGCAATAATCTACGAGTCGGCGAGCTGTTTCCGTTTCGGGAAACTCGAAGGAGAATACGTCGGACGTGGGAAGGAAGAGAAACGAGGGAAACGCGCGTTAAACGAGAAATTCGACGCGACGGCGGGGAAAATCGAGAATTGCGCTCCGCCGGCGATTGAAATCGGATTGAAGTGCCTGTCACACGACTAGAAGCATAGCTCGCCGGTTAAAGGTAAGCCGCCCCGCATTTGGCGTGGGCTTTTATTCCTATCTCTTGTAAATCCGTCGGGGGATATTTTCGCGTCGCGGAATGTTCCGTTTGGAAAGCCGGACGCTCTCCCTCTCTGCACGCTACACGTGCGGTTCGCCACGATATTATTCCGCCACGCATTTCTGCTTATTTTATTAAATATTCCGTAAATTCGAACGTATACGTAATGAATTCTGCCGCGTTGTCGCATAAAATAATTATCAGTCGCGGTTTGTTTATACATACGTATCCTTCTGTTTTTGATACGATTCAGACGTACGTGATTTCTCGCGTAATTTTCGATTTGCATTTTGTAAATTAAACCATCGTTATTCCTAAAAATTATTTTAACGAGCACCATTTCGCCCAGAAACATTCTACATATATTAAAATTTCTGTATGAAACATTTTAATAATGTATAATATTTTTTTTTAGACAAACATCAAAATGAGTGCGAGATTAGGACATATTATTATTTTTTTAATACTGGCTCTGTCTCTCTCTCTTTCTCTCTGACACAATTCCTACCTTTCTTCAAGATTAATGAAAGTCTCGCGGCAGCCGATAAAATACTATAAAAAGATGTTGGTTCTTGGAAAGATATTAACTATGCTGTTTAAACTTCGCTATATTAATGTCAGAGAAGAAAAATAGTTTTATCAGTATAAAGATTGATGAAAATAATTTCTACATATATATATTTTTCTTATTACGAAAATTGCGCTTCCCTCGGAAAAACACTTTTAAATATGCCGCAAACCAGTTCGACCCAGTTTCTCTTATCGGGGTATTACAAAGGTCGAGAGATTCACTGACAATTTTTAATTCATTTCTATTAAGCAAAAAAATCCTGAAAAGCGTGACGGAAGCCGCGGCGATCGAAGCACAGCGTCCCGATTTTACGGAAGCGCGCGTCGCTCTCGCTCGCGGATTTTCGACTCCGCATTCATTTCCGCGATTATCGTGACTTCTAAATCTTTTTACCGTTTCAATCGAGCCAGATAAGCGAGAGATTAGTGATAATGGTGACCAGATAGTGACGGTGGTGATATACGATGGCCCCGATGTTGCCGCCGTCCATTCGGTGCGTTTCGCGCGCTTTGCGTCGGTGCCGAAACATTTATAAGTTCGCATCTTCCATTTATCTCCGGTGAACTTTTCTGTTATTCGTGGCGAAAAATCAAAGGAGACAGGCGCGCGAAACGCGTTAATTAAAGAGCGACGAGTCCGAGTTGCCGAGCACGAAGTCGTTCTTTTTCGATATTGCTTGAAGAAGCGCAGGCTGAGAAGAATAGAGTCGCCGAGAAGAATAGAAGAGAAGATGGAGGGAACGGGGATGATTAGCGGAGTTCCTGTGCGCCAGGAAGGCAGGAAGCTGTGGCAGTATCTTGCCTCCATTTCCGGTATTTAACGGTGTATATTAACATTCGCGGTTATCTTCTTTCGTACTCTACGAGTTAGGAAATTAGATAGATTGAATGAAGCGTCGGATCCGCATTCGAGAGTGACGGCGTGGAGGCTGTGCAAAATCTCATTCTTATATGATTACTTACTTAAACGTTTATAATTGATACATTATGTAATCGCGTTTTTGAAATGCGATGCTATGAGGTGTATATATGTTTCTAAATTCAAAGCGCGTATCAGTAAATAAACGGCGCATCGAAAACGTATTTCAGACAAAATTTACATTATTTATTCGTGAGTTCAATTGTGCCGTTCAAAGAGAGTGCGGAATATATGTTATTTCAAGTTGTGTGTACAATGAATATTGCAAATGTGCAACCAAATCGGATACACCATTAATAATATTTAACATTAATCTCTGCAGTTAGGCAATTTATTTTTTAATCTATATGTTTAAACGTCAATATTGAAATATCTGATATTATTTATATTTAATCAAATATATGATATTATTTGATATTATTATATTCGATATTATATTTACACAATGTGTCATCTTTAATGCATATCTCCTAATTTTATCGATGTGTTTATGTTTAAAAATTTGTTCTTAAATAAAGATGAGTAGAAATTATCTTGAAGTGAGTACAGAAATATAGATTACAGTATTTGTCTTTCTTGAATTAAAATCTGCAGACAACGAATAAATAATGTTAGTTTAATTTTCAATAAAAAAATACGATTTTTTTATTTTATCTCCTTAGCTCAAATTTACTTTTAAGAAATAAGCAAAAGTTGAATTAAGGACTGTCTCAACTTATTTCATAAAATAATTGTTCAATTAGATAGTATCAGCTTACTATAGCATACTTATCGTGCTGATAATCGTTAATCGCGATCGTTACGTCGTTATCGAAATATATATATTATCAATTGACGTGACTGCGAGAAACTTGAACAATCACGTAACTTTACTTAAATAATTTAATACTCAAATTTTTAATTCTACTTGGCAAAAATCATTTTTTTTTTCTTAGAGGGTTTATATCTCCTGAAGATTAAATTATTATAGATGCAGGTATAGTATAATAAATTTCTTGTATTGATTCTTTCTGTTTATGAAATTGCTGGATCACAAGTAGAGATCAAAAGATCATTAGCTTACAATTTAATTAAATTAAAGAGGTGCAATCGGATACATGTATAATATCTTAATACATCTCGATAAAGTCTTTATTAGCCGCAAGATCTGCTTGTTAAAAAATTACATTCTTCTGTCAATAAAAGTACTCGAGTTTTCCGATCGAGGAAGATGGTAATGACATTAACAACAAAGCGTTTCAATTTTTTATTCTTTTAACGAAAACATCTATTAGCGATACCTACGGTTTTCATTTATAATTAATTTTACTTACATTTTATCTGACGTAGATAATTAAATTTGCATTCCAAACAGCTGAAGTCACGTAAAAACGTAAATCGATATTCTGCCAAGAGGATGTATACATACAATCTTTTATTAAAAAGTTTTATAAATAAAGCGCTATTAATCAGGGCATTATTATGGAGTGGACGTTAATTAGCGTTTGTGCGATTTCACTGAATTAAAGTTCACAGTAAATCTACCGTTTGATTTTGAGTGGAGTTTCTGCGAATCGAGCGAGAAGTGGAATTTAACTTGACACCAAGTTTGTTACGCTACTCACAATCCGTCGGATTGCACCTGTTATATATTGATTAAACTTCACTATAAGTATAATCGTGAAAAAGAGGAGGACATTACGCTTGCAGAAACTGTCTCCCAAGTTTCTTGACTTTCCTGGAAAATTAGATACAGCGAGATCGCAGTTTCGTCGCGATAGTAGTCAAGCCGTTCGTTATTAAATCTCTCCGAGTAAGCTCGCGTATCTCCTCGCTTACGAACTCCAAAACTCGACCGTGATATAGTTTATTGAAACAAGCGTCGCACTTTGCTCCGGTCGCGAGAGAGACGGAGAGGTATGTCCGTCACGCCGGTGAGATCCGACGACGGTGTGTTTTGTGAGTGTGCGCTCGAGATCTTAAAGGAGACAGTGGATCCGCTGTCCCGCGTAATTTTAAAATTCCGGGAATCGACTCGATTCATTCCCGACGTGTCATAATGCACCACTGTCATCCACTCTCGACGGGGCGGATTGTTATCGACGGCTGGATTTTCGGTGCCCGATAAAGTAATTCGGCCCATCTGTCCGCCTTATCGCGCGCGCCGCACATAATTGTTTCTGAGCATCGAGCAGCGGATTAGCATGATGTGGAAAGGACTTAATTTATAATTATCGCATTAATGTTTGCGCGTATCGCCATTCGGCGCCGGTGATACGGTATATATATATAGATTGTAAGAAAGAAACTGTTCACTGAGAGGATATAGAGCGGCAAGTTGTTCAATGAGTTTATGAAATTCGGCATGTCTTTTTTCGAGAAAGATAAACTATTTCTGGCAGATAATCTGGCTCGTATTTCACCAAACGCGAACGTAAATATATAAATGGGTAATGATATAAATAGGCTAGCAGAGCGATTGATAAGAATTGTGCTAATGTCTAGATGAAAGTACGACAGAAATCACGAGCGACAAATTTCCAAGAAGTAAGACAAATGTAATATTCAATTCTCAAACTTCTAATATTGAATGTAATATTCAGTTCGTGAACTCCTAATATTAAATGTAATATTCAGTTCTTAAACACTTAATATTAAAATAAGCGTAGTTAAGTTTCCTCGCTCGGAAAGGCTCATTCACAGACATTTCGTAATTCGCACGATTCTAATAAGATTCCAGAAAGTAATCAGAGAGACAGTTATTTGCGATATCTATTAACCTTCTCGAACTTAATCAGTTAGAAGATATATATTTAATTTTAAATGCTAAGTAAAACAGCTGGCGCTCGGAGGCTGAGGCTCCTTAAGTTTTCCCTTTAATCGATTCGGCCGCTTTAAAATGCTTTCAGCCTGCTTGATGGCGCTCAGCGTCGGCACCGCCCTGGCCTGGACGTCTCCCGTTCTGCCCCAGCTGTACGAGGAGACCTCCTGGCTGGTTATCACCAAGGAGGAGGGCTCCTGGGTGGGCTCGCTGCTGGCCCTGGGCGCAATCCTGGGCGCCGTGCCGTCCGGGCCGATGGCCGACAAGCTCGGCCGGAAGAGAACGCTCCTTCTGCTGGCGGCTCCGTTTCTCGTGGCCTGGGTGATCATCGTATTCGCCTCCAAACTGTGGCTGATCTACCTGGCCAGATTTGTGATCGGCGCCGCCGTCGGGGCGGCCTGCGTCGTCGTGCCGACTTACATTTCCGAAATTGCGGAGACTTCAACTCGGGGCTCCCTCGGCGCCATGTTTCAGCTGTTCATCACGGTCGGGATCTTGCTGGCCTTCGTACTCGGTGCCGTGATGAACTACACGGCGTTCGCGATAGTCTGCGGCCTCATAGTGGTCGGCTTCATCTTTTGTTTTGTGTGGATGCCGGAGTCGCCTGTTTGGCTGGTGGTGAGTCGACAGAATCTTCCCCGATTTGCGCCTTTCTATATTATTTTTCCACGTTTCGGCTGTTAAATTATATTCTAAAATGATATAAATATAAAATCATATAATTTTATAGAAATAAAATAATTTTACAATTGACGACCGTTCAATCGAAGCAAATAATTGAACCGTGACGGTCGAATTTATTCACGAAGAATAATTTTGATCTATCTCGAACCTTTACAGAACCAAGGGCGGAAACCGGAAGCCGCAGTAGCGATGTCAGTCCTCCGAGGAGACTCTTATGATCCGTCGGAGGAACTCGCGGAAGCGCAGCGAGAAGCTGAGCAGGCAGCGTTGAGAAAATCGACAATACTCGATCTTATACGAAGCCCGGTATCCAGAAGAGCTTTGCTCGCCTCGTTGGGCGGCATGTTCTTTCAACAATTATCCGGCATAAACGCGGTGATTTTCTATACCGTCACCATCTTCCAGGCATCCGGGAGCTCGATGTCGCCTGAAGTCGCCTCTATAATTGTGGCAATTGTTCAGGTGCGACATGTATATATCTCGCACAAAAGCTTATACCTGCTTTTATAGATTTTTCTATAGAACACACTTTTACTTATATAACTCCGTTTATAGAGAAGAATTGAACGTCTGAAAAAAACATTTCCATAATAATACTTCTGTTCAGATAAGGAATACGAAGTAAAAAACTCTTGGAAATTTTCGGAGTCTGATTAAAATGTAATTAGAATTTTTTTTGCGAGTTAATTGTGCCGAACGTGATTTTCTGTTATTCGTCGCAGTTTTTTTCTTTCTGTTTTTCGTCGTTGAATTTTACATGCAGATATTCGTTGTCGGCACGATATGTATCAAATGTTGTATATCTATCCACATGCCTTGCAATTATTATTAACTACTTAATCGTCGTCGGATGACGATGTTTAGCTTGATAAAGCCGTTATTTCTGGCAGATGATTACGACAGGCGTAGCAGCGCTGATCGTGGATCGCGCCGGAAGGAAGCCGCTGCTAATATTTTCCTCGAGTGTTATGCTAGTCAGTCTCGTGGCCCTCGGTTCGTATTTTAATATTAAGACGAGCGGAAGTGATGTCAGTAATCTCGGCTGGCTACCGCTCACATCCCTGACGTTATTCATGATTTCCTTCTCCATCGGGTGAGTACTGCAATTAACTGCATCGGATTTTTTAAACAGTCTGAAATAATATATTTAGAATAGATTATTCCGGTGTAAACTCTCTCTTCTTCTATCTATTTATTATATATAGATGGCCGAATAATTTTGAATAACCAAATTTTTTATAACCAAAGTGTTTGATACCGCGAATCAGTATAAAAAAAAAGAGAAAGGCGTCAACTGTAGCGCAACATTTATAGGATGGGCCCGATACCGTGGATGCTGATGGCCGAACTGTTCCCCGCGGAGACGAAGGCGGTTGCCTCCGGTATCGCCGTGATGCTGAACTGGTTCCTGGTGTTCCTCGTGACGAAGACCTTCCCGGCGATGAACGAGGGCTTGGGCGCGGACGTAACTTTCTGGATCTTCGCCGCGATCATGGCGGCCGGCACCGCGTTTACGTACTTTTTCATACCGGAAACCAAGGGGAAAACCTCTCAGGAGATTCAGGATGAGTTGCAGGGCAATGCGCGATCGAAGAGGACGAATGCCTAAATTGTATCGAGTTTTAGCATTGCTAAACTTGCTTCTAGCGCGACTGTTGTTTCGAAAACGATATTTACCTGAGTAAAATAATTAATTAAATCTTTGATTATTATCGAGTTAAGTTGCAAGAAGACCTTGGTACAACAAAGTATGAGGAGACACACGGAATAAAACTTTTTCAACAGCATCAAGAAATGAGCTGCTAAGAAAGTGAAAGTCTTATAAATGATTTATTATCTTACGCGTAAATTATCCCACATTCGAACGTATCATTCTAAAGGACCCGGCGTTAATCAAATTAATTTCGATAAAATTGGCTGAAACTGTGATATTCTGTAGATTATGAGATGCTAATCAAGAGTTTCCATGGGTGAAACAATAAAAAATAAATTTTGCTGCATCATTTGAAAGTTGCTATTTTAAATCTCATCGGTCTGAAAAGTACTTTTTTCTCTACACAATTTGTTCTTTAACTATATTTATATGTATATATAATTATATACTTATGTTTTTTATGGTTTAATTTCCATACATGTTTCCATTTCTTATTGAGTAGGCTCATATCTCTGTCTATGTGTGTGTGCGCGCGCAAAGAATGATATAAATGTATATGTATCGGTATGTGTGTCATGAATTTTTTATTGTAATTTGTATGGTTTTTTTACTTACGAAAAATAACCCGTCACGTCCATCTACCAACCGTGCCGCGTACTGCTCGCGAGTAAACGAGTTTATTACGTCGCGCGCGAGAACCGTATCTTATATATCGTATTTTCTACGACTTTAGACAAAAATAGCTTGCGACTAAATATAATAGTTTCTGTTACGTACAGCGCAGACAGAGTAGCGATCTGAGCATTAATAAATAACTCCTATTATTTTATAAAGTTAATGTTATAAGGAAAATAGTGGATTATTTAAACCTATTGCAAAATAAAGTGGTGATTAAGAACTTTGAAGTAAGTGCGTTGGACATATTAATGGAATAGCTAGAACTTCCGTCAGTGCTTCTATCCAAAAATACAAAAGATAAAGTATATAAATAATATTTCCTGTGTATTTTTACCACGCATGTACAGTCACATACACACATGTATGCATATAGTTTTAGATGTAATAATGTTAGAAATACTAATGGAATTGTCATCGACACAGATACACACGTACACGGATACATATACATGCCATACCACCCTCTCCTCCCCCGCGCTCAAACAAAGAGAAAGAGAGAGATTTACTTAATAACTAACACATGTATGATTATTATATAAATGCCTATACAGTTAAAGAAAATAAGACTATGTACTTTTATAAAGGTACTTTTCAGACCGATGAGACTCAAAAATAGCAACTTTCAAATGCTACAGCAAAATCTATCCATTTTTGATGGTTTTATCTAAAATTTTTTATCAGTATCTCATAATCTTCAAAATATCACAGTTTCAACCAATTTAACCGAAGCCAATTTGTCACTTTTCCTATATAATTAGTGCGGAATTTTTTATGATATATAATTTTTGTTCACACAGGTTCATCGGTGTGCACGACGCGCGAAATTTTCATCAGTTGCGTATATTTGTTAATTATTGTTTAAATACATGTGCATTATCATATAAAAAAACAATAAAGAGCAATACTTTAATATCAAGCATTATTGTATCACTTTATTTTGGGATTTCATTTTGCAATTAATACTAAATATATATTTGATCGCCTCTGTCGTATTCCAGTTATACATAAAGAAATATACATACATTTAGTTAGGTAATCTTTTATATTATAACTAGATATAAGATTCATTGCGACAATAATAGATGTTATATATATTAAATAAATTTTAGTTTACTATAAATATATTAAAAAATATTTTTAAAACAGACGACTATTAATACGTTACTACATAAATTTCGTAATATATTATTACAAGTTAATGTAGAGGCGCGATATGTGATATTTTATTGAAGCTTACGATCCGCATTCAGAACGCGCTTTTATCGATAAATGTGCATTTTTATTATATCTTTGAAATTTTATGTTATACGTAATATAAATTGTATCATGTTAGCACTCTAATATCGTAGCCTATTCTGAATACGAACCTATATGTACATACATAGATTGCATTACACGTAATGCGACTTGAACAATAAACAATTTTTTAAATAAAAAAATAAAAAAATAACAGAAACAAATAAATTATTATTTTTGTCTTATTTTTTCTTATTGTCTTACCCTTTCTGCAATCGCAGAAAACAGATGTAACCCTGAAATAAATATTTTTTGAAACGATTAATGTAAAGCAATTTCCATTAATTACATTTTTTTTTAAATTATATGATAACGCGCGTCATTATTTTTCTGTTCTAGAATACGGCAAAAGTAAAGCGCTACTACGTAGTTCTGGAGAATGAAAAAAATTTTTACATTAGTATATATAGGTGCGTCTTACGTTCATTATCTTCTTTTTCGCGTGAAACGGTGTCTTCATGACGAGCAGAATATCTTACGGTAAGATAACGCAGATTACGATTGAGGCTATCGAGGAGCTGTTTAACCGCTATAGATTAAATTCGCAAACAATTTGACGCGAATTGTGTGACAAAATTTAACTTTCCATCCATAATTTTGTGCTCCCGTTCACCCGACGCGTAACATTTAAATTTTAGAACTGCCCGATCAAAGATTTAATCTTAAACATGTAACATCTTGCGATAGAAGAGATTTTTGCAACCTGCGCACTTACCTCTAATCTTATTTTTTTACTTTACGCTTGACAATCTTGGGAAATATATAATTAGAAAATGTTTGCTGTCTCACAAGCAAATGTCTCAGACTGTCTTAAATATTGAAATGACGTTGTTTCACTACGCTAATTATCTGCACCTGAACGGAAAGTTATTATACATATACGTATTTCCTCATGTGTGCAGCTCACTTTGTGTAATACATTACACATAATTGTAACCGTGACTTTGCTGGCTTGTGATATTGCGCGCACTTACCATGGAACTTCCCTATGCGGTAAGACGTACTGATAAAATAACGATTGTTGAATCGATCGGCATACATTCAATTTTTTATTGCTCCAAGGTTATCATAGAAAGTGCGAAGTTATCGCCGTTCTTCCTGAAATCGACGAACGAGATTAGAAAGGAATGCGACTACCATTAACTCTTCGTACATGCGTACATATGTATATATGCGAGAAATTCTAAATTAAAAAATTTTCAATTCAAATTAAAAATGTAATTAAAATATAAAAGACAATTTTTTCCTGTACAAAATAATTGATTAAAAGTTAATTAACACTGAAAGTATAATTAAGTTTTTTTTATACTTCACACCTTTTAGTTATTTTACAGTAAACTTCAAAATTTTACAAAAATTAGATTTTATAACAAATAAGAACTTGATTCGTTTTCTAAAATACTTAAAATCCTAATGCTCGCGGCGCATGACGGATTTTCATTAAAATTTTATCGAGATAATGTAACTCCATTCCAACTTAGGCTCTTTAATTTAATGACTGGCTGAAAACGCTTTTGTATTATCCACTAAATGATGCAGTATCCTGTTTCATTTTCATAAGACAATAGATATTTAAACTTCAATTTGACGAGAATAAGCGTAAATATAAAATTTATGTTGAAAATTAAAATTAAAATAAATCTTATTTTATTTTTGCATCAAAAGTTTATGTCAAAACAAAGCGTACACTTAAACTTGGTAAATGCAAAAATAAGAAATAAGTATTTATTTTATTAGAATTTTCACAAAAAGCAATCACCGATTAATTCTTAAATAACAAATAATTAAAAAATATAAATCGAGAAACATATATAAACGAGAAATATACAGATCTTTGCTTATAAAAAATGAAACGACAAAGACAGAATCGTTGCGATAAAACGATTCCTACAGTATGACGTATATCAAGTTTTTTCTTCATACATAGGAAATCTACCGAAGACACTCGAGAAAGTTATGCAGCAAAATCATACCTTCCTCGTTCAACGATAAGGAATTATCGACAGAATCCCGTTAATATAATGTCATTTCCTCACAGGAAATTCAAACAAAACTTTCCAGAAGAACTTAAGACTGGTGAGATTGCAAGAAAATTACGGAAAATTTCAGATTTTCTACAATTTGTGTGAAATGGCACTCTCTTTTGTCTATAATTATAATGAAAGCAGTAGCACAGTTTCACGTCAATCGCTTATTCGGTGCCCTCGCACGCATCTGGCAAGGCGTAATTTGCCGTTGTGTAATTAATAAACGGAGATATTAAGCGTCGATTAATATTATCGGATCAATTTCGTATTTAGAATGTATGTACAGGAAGATTAATATCCGACGTTGAAAATTTCCACGCGGGATGACGCAGACTTCGCATTCTTGAAGTGGCACACAAATCTTTTATGATTAAAATGAGCTTTGCGCGTTGAAAGAACGTTTTTCTATCTGTCGCTGAAACGCATTTTAAGGATTCGCAGTTGTGAAGTCAATGTGAACAAGTTTTCCACGGTTACAAACGATTGAAATATTGGATTACAGAATATTTGCCGAGACTGTTATTGACGTTAAAAAAAAATATTTCGCATATAGTGTTACATAACGTTATTACTCAGTGCTGCAAATCATAAAATACTACTCAAGCTTCTGCGGCAAATTTGATAAATTGCTGAATTAAAAGAATGCCAAGAAAATATTCTAACAAAGATTATATGTGTTAGAGACAAAAGAGTTATTACACGTTACAAGCGAAAGACGCACGTTGGGGATCAGTTCTCATCGTAAAAATTATCCCGAAAATGAAATTCTCGTTATACAAGATTTACTTTTAAGATTTTTTATAATTCTTATGATCCAAAAAGTACATGGTTTTTCTCTGATGTGTTTTCCACTTTTGACGTGCTTCAATTAATTTATTCTCACGTAGCAAAGCGTTAATGTAATTCTTTAACGTCATGGAATATAAGCTACTAAGAGGAGTCATTCTCCGATTGTAATTAATCGGTCGTAAATTGCAATGGAATGTCCTAATGACGTATGTACGCATTTGCAAAGCGCTGTAAACGATGTGAACGTATGTAAGTGCATTCGACATTGAATGCACTTTGTCACGTTTTGCGCGTGGCGCTATTCGGTCTCTGTATCGTCTGTTCACGCGTTCCTCATTAATCCTCCCACTTGTAGCACCAATTTTATTTCTTCTTTTTATATGCACAATGCATTTTCTCACGTATTAGATCATGACGACGTCGCGAAAATCGCGTGACGTATATAATGCCGTTGTTCAACGGTTACAGTTCTTTCATTATCATCGCACTTGTATGTGCGATTACATTAACAATATCGTCGGTCGATTTTTCGCTCTGTCGACCAGGTTGTAGCACCGTCTCGAATTCAGTATTGCAATAAACTGGTTCCCTCACTGATTTCTTCACAGAAAGGCATTTTATTGTTCGCGTTACATAATACAATAAAACCATACAATAAAGCAACGATCTTTTACCTCTGAAATAACTTACCTCTGAATGAAATCAGAGTTTCCTTCCATTGAAAAATTTCAATATCTCTCACTAAAGAGAAGAAACTAAATTGGTAATAAAACGTGATAGATCCTTATTCACATTTCTTCTATTATTGAAATTTTATGAATAGAAATGTTTTAACATTCTTTAAATAAATCTCGATTCTTATTTTACAAATTATATCGAGTACTTTTCCGCAAGCACATTTTTCTCTTATTACTTAGTTGGACTTACCATTAGATTTATATCTCCTTTAAGAAATTAAGCAAGTTATTATATATTATTTTTAATTTTTTTGACATCTCAAATTCTAGTATTAGAATTAAAATAATTGTATGATCTTTCATATATTTAATATATTATTCTTAAGACAACTTTAATTTACGTTAATTAAAAAGACAGATACCATCTTGTTAAACGCTATATCTCAAGTACAAAACAAATTTTGAGATCTCTATAAAAAATATCGTTGATTTCTTGACGCAGTCCCTGACTGATAATACAGTGAGCAAAAATACGCAACGTACGTCTCCAGCTGGAGACGCGCGCCAGGAATCGCCCGTTGGCGAGGACCTCCTACTCGTGCGGGATAAAAACCGAGGTCAGATCAAAGGAAGACAATAGCTTTTTCGTGCTGAGAATTTGACAGCTGGTTGCAACGGCTGTTCGCAAAATCGGAAAATGGCCGAAGCTTCAATTGTCAGTTTGCATCACGTCAGCTCTTTGTTTGGCGAACTCGTCGTCACTCTTCTGACGACGAGTTCGCTTTTTTCTTGACGAGTCACCGAAGATTCTGCGACACGACCCGGCTAATTAGGCGAATCCCTTTGCGTATAACCTGATATTTTCCGATCGATACGTCGACGCGACGGAAATCGGTGGCGTAATTACTTATGAAGGATGCACAGAGGACGCGACAACGCTTGCCGCGCGGCGGAAGTCGTATATAGCGTTATAGCCAATCAATTTACCGATTTTCTTTTGCTCTTATAGAAAAGTGATAAATTGATTGGCTATACAACGCCAACTTCCGCCGCGCGGCAAACGTTCCACGTCCTGTGTGCATTCAATATTATATAACTGATGCAACTCGAAACATACATGTGTCTCCCTTTCGGCCTTAAGGTGTGTTCCTTTTTATGCATGATGCGCATGATGCATCATTTTATTCTTGTTGTTCACTGAGTGTTAAACAAGGTAAAATGATACATCATGCGCATCGTACGTGAAACGGAGCGCACTTTTAGATAGCGTTCGCCGTTTTAAATGACCATTGCGTAACAGAAGTAGCGACGTAAATTCTCCACTCAAGATTTTTTTTTAACTTTTCTATACCGAGAAATTTCTCGCTCTCTTTTGTAGAGCGAGAAATGCTTAAATAATGCAAAACAAAGAGATAAGAATTTTTATGTTCCGAATCAATCAGTCGTTAACCTTCTTTCGCAATAATTTTCCAAAATTAAGCGGAAAGTTTGCTTCTAGTCTTTACTCAGTACAGAAATAACATAGACTGTGATGAAGGCAAACTGTTGGCGTCGTAAATTAAAGAGAGTTGCGAAGATAAGTTATATAGAGATAAATTATATGTTCTGCAAACACGAAAAGAATTAAGACTGTATTCAAACGATTCTATTAGGAACGTCACGTTTTCTGTTGACACTGTTGTCGTGTGTGCAAACATAATCACATGAAAATTATTGACGTACGCGGATTTTCCTCATAATCACCCTCATTATATGATAGCTTCTGTGTAATGTCGCCTCATACGTCGGTGATTATCTCATGATTACGTTTGCCGGGTTGTCAGTTGTGTCAACAGAAACTCGGCGTTTCCAATCGCCATTTAATCCAATTTATCTGCGAATCGTCACGAGTCTTCGCGTCTCGTGATTACCTTTAATTCGCGTACGTTTTAACTTATGGACTTGCAAAACACGCACCGCCGAGTGTATATTAAGCGTGCAATTAAAAAACAAAACGTAATTATAAGCAATTATTCACTTTGTCGCGCGCTCTGCATATTGTCTCGTTGTTTTGTCTCATGGACAGTTGCAGCTCGAATCAATAAACGTTGATGATTACGATTGTTTCCATCTAAATTATAGCCCGCGGCGTATGGGTACAGCTAGAAAATTGAATTCATCAGAATTAATGTTAATCGATATTACATTGGCGCAATACGTCCCCGATAGCTGTTAGTTGTAGCGGCAATTCTAGTTGATTAATTTCACTCGGCGATTTTCTATCTGTTTTCAGATCATACATAGAATGGATTAAAATTCTATTCTAACAAGTACACATTGAAATCAAATTCAGTGTACATTTAAAAATCTGAATCAAATCCAATAACTAAGATTTATTTTCTAGGATTCGAGTAATACCTACTTATAAGAAATAATATCTTATGCATTGTATAATTGAAGTAATCGATCCCGATTAGTCAGTTTCAAGTTTTACAAATAAATATCTGCAAGATTCGAAGAAGTACTTGTAAGTACTTTTGATTGTACAGAATCGAATCTTTTACAAATAGTATTCGAACTCTAAGAATTAAGTTAGTTAAACACGTTTGTTTGTTAATTTAACCCTAGGTATACACATTGTTTTTTTGACGACGTCGTATACACACTGGAGTCCCGGGGACCTCATTCATATTTATTACTGTAGCTCTAGTAAAAATGGACATATTTCAATTAATTTTTTTTTTCAATCGATAAAGAATCAATCAAGAAACAAGTCCATAATGTTTAAAAGTCAATAGAATTAAGGAGCTCCAAGATATACGGTTCAAAGAAAAAGGGAAAGTTCAAAAACGCTGCGGGATCGAAAGTTTTGCAGGTCCCGGCGACCCAGGGACCCAGCGTGTGTATCTAAGGTTAACACGTATTGTGCCGTGTGACTCAGTCTAGACATTCTAGCATTCTCTAGCATTTTTTGTATCGTATATATGATTTTATGTATAATTCAACTTATGTATAATTCTTTGTTATTTTGATTTATAAATAGTCAATATCCTGTTCCAACAAACAGTTCAATATCCTATTCTAACAGGTGCATATGATTATCTGTACATTGTTCCATTTGTTCCATCAAAAGAATATTTTTGAAAACAGGAAATATTATATGAATGTAAAGTGAAATGGACCAGAAAGTAAAATTAAATCAAGTGTTATTTCTAAAGCAAGGCCGGCGTTGCTTTTTTCAGCCGGTTTTTGAGCGCCGCTGTTCCCTGCACCATACCGCTTTGCCTCACCAATCGGCATTTGGACTGCCGCGCGAGTGGTGAAGTAAAGGGAACAGCGGCGCTCGAAAATCGGCTGAAAAGTACAAGACGTGTCAAACCCTGTTCTAAACAATTATAAATATTACACAATTAATATTACATTAATTGTAAGTTATATATATATATATATATATATATATATGTGTGTATGTGTGTAGTTGTATATATATACACACTTACACTTCCAAGTAGATTTAAGTAAAATACTCAAAACTTATGAAAATTATAAGCATTGATCTAGAAAAACTACAAATTTTTTTAGGAGAATATAAATGTAATTAATTAGTATAATATGATAAGTATAAATATATAAAATATATTTATTATATTAATATATTAATATATTAATATATTAATGTATAAATTAATATAATATGATAGGTAATATATATAATATAGATAGATAATATAAATATAATAAATATATTTATTATATTATAAATATATTTATTATATTATATTAATTAATTACATTTATATTCTTCTAAAAAAAATGTGTAGTTTTTCTAGATCAATGCTTATAATTTTCATAAGTTTTGAGTATTTTATTTAAATCCAATCTACTTGGAAGTGCCCTTATTTTTCAAGGTACTCATAAAGAGTTCAAACCTAGCTCAAGTTTGAGTTTACTTGGAAGTGGTATTTTTATTTTTAAAGTAATTACAGAAAGTTTGAAACTACGTTACCAGATTCGAATTTACTCACAGGATACTTAATCGCATTGCTATAAATTATATAGTTCTAGTATATAAATAAGTAGGAATTTTTAAACATCACATTAAACGCCATTGAGATGAAACGGTATTCGCACAAGTTCGCAGCTTTCTTTAAAAAACGTGTGAAATCGGTACGGATCGATTTATTTATTCCGATTAATTCGATCCTTCTTTCTCACATACAACGCAACGATTAATTAAGAGTCGGATTGTATAGAAGCTCACCTGCGCAGAGTGATATTGCGTGAATCACGTTCGGCAGCAATTAGTCGCGCTCGCTTATTAAAAATGATAATAATTCTGTCGCAAACGTAACAAAATAAATTGCTTCCTTATTTTTCTAGCTGTGCTTTTGACACGATAATTATTGGTCTAATCGCATTTTAAACGTGCGCAAATCGCGCGACGGACTAGACGCGCATCCGGTTTATACATCGTATCTATCGATATCAAAATACTGAATACCAACCTTGCCTTTCATTTTTTATTTCATTGAGTTCTCCGAAGTTCATGAAATACCCCTTTCCTTTATATATAAATTGTATAATTTTCAACTTTAATTGCATTTTTATTAGTTGACATTAACGTCGCGACCGCATACAAAATTTCTTCTGGCGTAGCGTGGTTTCAAAAACTTGAAAAGAGATGAAAAAAACGAATTAAGGCATGTAACAGCATCCCTTACACGTCTGCGGAAACCTCAAGTCCCATCATAAAAGTGGAGGAAAATGAAGGGAATCTTTGTGTGAATTTATACGAGGAATTTTGCCACATCAGTCTGAAGTGAATAAACACGAACACGCAGTAAATCGCGTGTTTGCGATTTGTAATGTTTGATATTCCGCAAAACCCGTTAACGTCACTGGATCGATATTTTATGACTAATTTACGCGTAATCGCCGCTATTGAAGCGCCGCTATACAGATTGTCGCGTTTATCGTTTATCAAGAGCTACCGGTGAGGTGACAAAGATATCGAACGATCAACACGGCATCGACGTGGGATGATACGTTCCCGATAATCTATCGCACCTTGTTGTTACGTAAGAAAATAATCAGGGGCTTATAACGCGGCTGTCACTTAGCGAAAAGATCATTAGCGACGGTGCGTGCGCGACATCGGTAAGTCCGTTCTTTTAACTCTTTTTTTTTTTTACTTCCGACTGCTGTCAACCAGCACAATTTCCCCTTCAACATACCCATGCATCCTGTCGCCGAGAGACTAAATCCCGTTCTTATCATTCTTTCGAATCGCGCGCGAATCGTGTCACGGCATATCGCCGATAAACAATAGATCGCAATTAGATCTCATCGATACGCGCGACTTCTTTTTCGCCGCGTGCGTGAAGAACTATGGAGGAGGAGAGGGGAGGGGGAGCGATTATCATCGATCCTTGAGGACTTCGCGATGGAAACAATCAAACAAGTGCGAAGAACGGAATTTTTCGACGTCGTGATAATAACTATGACGCCTCTACCGCGTCGCTTGATATTCCACTCGCGTCAATTCGACCAATCATTCTGCGAACGTTCTAACCCACGATCAATCGCGAAAGGAATAGCCGACGAGTAAAGTGCGCCGAGTTTATGAGCCTCTTTTATCTTCGCCGAATTTGTGAGTCTCCTTTTATTGAAACAAGTGCATACACATCGTGATTTTATATTAGCCGATGTATGTGTTAACTCGCTTAATAGTAATCAGCTTTGTGAATCAGACTGAGCTCTTTATTCTAAACTGAATGATTTTGTGACAAGAAATGCATTAATGCAGTTGTTCTAACAGAATTCAAATATATTTCCTTCGAATACGAACAAATACCTAAGTCAAAGAAAGAAAGAGAATTTTAATAGGTATATAATCCTTAATTGTGTAGCATTAATAAGTAATGAGCATAAAGACTGCTTTTATGTCATTTGAAAAGTAAAAGGACGACATCGGTAAACCATTTGTTTTGCACATTATTTTATTTTCGTTCGAAGTTTCAACTGATCAAGAGCGGCGACTCTGTTGTCCTTCCGTCCTCGAGGTTTTATACCAATAAGCGCGTAACGTAATTGCATTTAAAACTAAAAGGACACTCCTTTGTGTGCCGAGCGTGATTTACGGAGCGTATTCTATCGTGAAATTGAATTTACGTTATGCTATTTCCGTATCTCTCTCCTCGGTTTCATAAGTAACGCGATATCATTTGTATCCGCGCGAAAAGCCACCGTCGACTCGCAATCGCGGGACGCGGCACGCATGTGCGTATAACGCGGTTATCGGTCGACGCGTCGCAGAGGATGATGCGAGTAAATCTCGTCCTGGATTTTATTGATTTTCCCCGCTTGACGTAAGCGGGCCATGTTACCTAGATAGAATAGCTTCTTCGAATTTCTTTGTTCCGCGTGGTTTAATCATCGGATAAAAATATTACACGGCATTTCCTCGCGTCTCGCGTGAGAGGAAGGAGAAAAGAGGAGAAAGAGAGCTTTGTCTTGGAGCGCGCACTCGACAAATACCGCGGGCGACTCGTTACACGACACAAGATTGACGTGTTTACGGCACAAGATCGACGTCCAAAAGACGAATACATTATCCCGATACAGCGGAAGTCGCGAAACGAAAACAGAGACCGAAAAGTTCCTCGCTTGGCTTCGCGGTCGCTGAATTGATTCCGCCTCGTGGTTTAGGTCGATCGTTTGCATTAACATTATTACAACCCGTGTTTGGTACAGCGTACATTATTGATTTTCTCTCGGCTTGTATTAGGGAGAGGCACCGGTGATAGGGGAATCACCTTCGAATTGGGGTGGATTCACTCGACGGAGGATGAATTCACCAGCGTACAATTTGCTCGCGAAACTGACGTAAAATTTCTTGAAGCGATTCCCGTAACTACGCGCTATAAAATTTAAAGATTTCGTATTAAAAGAAATGAGAGAGATGATATATCTTGGGGGAAATTATTTCTTCAGATAAAAACGTCTTCATTTATTTTTATACTCGCGCAAATTGAAATATATAAGTGTGCGCATTTATCGTGTAGTATTTGCAGCTTTCCGCAGAAATTCTCTAGAAATGCATTCAAATTAGACTTAATTACGCGGGAGAATTTAACGTCAGAATTATGCAATTTCTCACCCTCTTCTTCTTCTACGAAACAAAAGTATAACGATTAATTTAATTTCATCCGCTATTTTGCGCCATCACAGCCTCATTTATTGTAAAGCTCGTGTCTCGATAAAAAGAGGGTATCACAAATAAATATGCGAAAAATGCATTGAAAAAGATTAAGTTACTATCTTATCTATTATTTTGAGATAAATTGATAAAATTCTTTTTCCTTTATAAATAAAAAATCACAAATTGGATTTTAATGAAGTGCCAAATAAAATTCGAAGATTCTTCCGTCTCATCCTGTTCCATAATTCTGCAATTAATGCTCCTCCCGAGCCAAGGGTATCCCCTTCAATGGGGGATATAGTTGGGGGCTCCTGGAGACCGTCCTCTGCGGCGACGCCGCACGCGACCTTGACCACGGCGCCTCGGTTTCAGGGTCTAGGTTCCGAGACGACGGCCGTGGTATCTCACATCGTCGTAGCGACCGCGAACGACCCGCGATCGAGATCGCGCCACGCGGGGAACGGCGCGAGAAGAAAGGAGTGGGAGAGAGACGTGGAGACGGATCAGAGGAGGCCGAGCGAGAAAGAGAGATCGAGAAAATGACCCCCACTCACGGCAATGAGGAGATAGAGGGGCGCACTTATAAAGACTATGGCTACAGCCCTGTACCAGTGAGTTCCCCTTCGGCGGTGAATGATACACCCCCGGTCGATAGAGAATCCGTGGAGTTGGACATACGCGGCAGGACGTCGTCACACACCGTCAACCATCGCTGCCCCGAGGACATGACCGAGAAGGGTTCCAAGCGCGTTCAGTTCCTGGCCGCTTCGGCGGGTAAGTCCGCATCTGTCAATACAGGGCTAAATCCTAGAGGAGGGGAAAAAAATCAATTTCATCCATTATTAAAACGCTATTTTTTTCATAGGAATTTTAAATTTCTCTGGAGTTCACTTCTCAAATATATATTTCTTCAAAACAATTTAATATTTCGAAACGATTATGAAAAATTTGAAAAATTTGTTAAATTTATTTTCCGAATATATCGGTACTTGATGGATTAACTTTTTTTAAAACGTATATCCATTTTATCGTTTATGTATAAGCGTTATCATTGTTTTGCCCACTTACTTTCCACTCGTCAATGAGAGCCGCGTTCTGTCTTATCGGGCGAATAATAGAAATCATCTAAGAAACTTATTTAATAGAATTTTATAAAGCGAGATTACAGATACAATAAACAATACTGCAGTTAATAGGATATCGAATTGATAGTGATAGATTAATGTTCATTTGATTATAAATTATTTAACTGTTCTTTATACACTTGCGAAAATCACTTTCGCTCGTCGACTGTATAGTCGCTCGCTCGATGGAATCTATTCGTTCTCGTCGAAATTCACTACCGATTCCTGTCGACCTCCACGCTGTTATTTTTTTTGTGATCACGCACAAACAACTTCACGATTGACAATACATATAGATTGGTCGGATTGTATTTACATGCTTTAATTTATACGTTAGCTCTTGAATTTGTTCGTTATAATACTTATATCTATACATTTATATTATACCATAAATCAATACAAATACATATACTTATACACGTACGTATTTTTATAATTAATTGGTTAAAGTGCTTTTAAAGATAAAAGCGGAAAGTTTTCTGTTCGACAATGATATACTGAACGGTGGTGAATTTATGATTGTGCTGAGATGAATAACCACCCTCGCGTTACTCACAACTCGATCGATCGACTTGACCCTTAGGGGATGTTTTTCGCGTCGCTTTCATCATATTCCGGTCGTTTCTGTATTTTCGAAACTCGAGGAAGATCGAGAGAGAAGCTATTGAAATACATTTACACGGTGTAGCATTAGATTTGATTTATTAATCCTTTTACGTGGGAAGTGTCTTTTTTTAAAATAATCTTCTTTCAAAAGAAGAATTAAATTTAAATTACATTATACATTCATCGGCGTAGTACAGTGCAGAGGGAGTCAAAACGTTCGGATTGGATAATGGGACAATAAATCACGCACGATTTGCTTTTTAATGGTGCACTTACTCTTTTGATGCGGGTGACATTAATTGAAGAAAATGAAGAGGCATATATGATACGCGCGGTCCGCCGCGGCTCTCTCACCACGTGTGGAACACGCCACGGCTGCACATGCGTGATGCGATGGTCAACGTCCGCGGAAATTGAAATTATTCTTATATACATATATTCTGCTCTTCTTTTAACCATATACTTACATATTAATGAAATATTTCCGAGTTTTCTGATTTTTTGTTCTCTTTCTGTCTTGATCGTAGCGAATAATTTTCATTGAAACGAATCAAGGATACAACGAACACATACAATGGCAAAGCAAAATTGTTCGATCTTAATTATTGTTCACGCTACACGTAGCTCACGTTAACATAACGTAAGCCTAATGATATTACTTTATGAAACTTCACGAAAGTGGACAATAACGTGATAACATAACGATAATGTAACGAAAATATTATCTCAGGAATACGTGCAGTCAAATGCAAATATTATCGTAATATGCGAATCTCTATTGTATTTTCATCGTCAATTATTTAATTTCCATTTCTCATGTTAACAATAAGCATGACTATTGTTACAAAGAATAATGAGAAAATAACGTAAGCACTTGTCGCTTGATAAAACAGTAAATAGAGATGAATTTATCATTGAAAATTTCTATTTTTTAATAACAATTTATTATTAACTTTACACTGGGAAGTTTTTAAAAATAATTTTTCTTAAAGAAAAAAAAACACAAGAGCCCACTATACAAAGACGTTAAAAAAAAAACATCCAATTATGCCTTTAAAATGTGTTTTTCCTAACGCGGAAATGACGAGAATTGAAGCATCGCGGTTTAGCGGGAAAATAAACGCGCAATTAAATTCGCGTGATGCGATCTTGGCGCATTTAGCGAGTAAGAAGAAACCGAGGTAATTATTCGGCTTGAGCAGTGATCCCGATTGATCAAGTCAAGATAAGCTCGAGATATTAGCATCAAAAACTCACCCGGTGAAAGAACGATGACACGGGGAGGGGGAGGCTACGCGTCACGATTCGTGTCCACCGGCGAGTCCTTCGCGTATACTCGGATGACGGGAATATTAAACGATTCACATCCGGCGCTCGACCGAATTCAATCTTAACCGACAAAGATCGCAATCGGTTTAAACTACTTCCTCATTACTCGGTGCAGCTCGGTCGAACGAGACCTCGAAGTGAGAATTCCGAGTTGGATGAGGGGGCCGGCCGCACTCGCGACGCAAGTCAATCGAATTCGTAATGAGAGGCCATGCAGAGCGGGCGAGCCCGTTTCGATTGTTCAGTAATGATCGTCGGTCGGAGTTGAGAGTTGAGATCTGATTCTCGGAAATCAGCGTTCCCGATAACGATGTGAGCTCCTTATCAAAACCGGGAACTAGCGAAAAGGGATAATACCATACGATGCCTCCTCGCTGCATTATTAAAAAAGAAATCTGCGCTTCGAATTCCCGTGACTGAATCACGCGCTCACGGGAAGAATCACGCCGCGGGGCGCAGAATTATTGAAATTTTTGCGCGCACAACGGCGCGACACACGCGTTCGGATATAAAAATTCAGATCAGCTCTGATTAGTTCATCAATGCCGATACGCGCGAAATCAGAAATCTCACGCGAGAGCGGCGTGAGAGCGAGGATCCTTGAACGGAGAAACGGAGATCCCCGCGCGTCTTACTACCGCAATTATTTATTTATGCGGAATTTAACCGGACGGATTTTTTATTTCACTATTTGTTACGAATGTGAACTGGCATGACAATTGAACAGTCCGTATTCGTGGCTTGTGACAAGTGACGTCAGAGCTTCCGCAACGAAAGGCCGAGGTATACTTCATGGCCACGCAACATATTTTATTTTACTAGAATATGTATATTGCAATACGTATATTGTATATTACGGATCTGTCCGGTGAATGAGCATCTGATGCAATGCATTTATTAACTTGCCTGATAAAACTCACCTCACTATCCATTAGAATTTCTATTTTGCATTCGTCAGAAATGCATTCGTTAGCCTTCACTCGTGAAGATTTTTAATAGATTTATTCCGTCGTAAGCAAAAGTGTTTTTAATGCAGAAGCTCGACCAGCACAAAAGATTTATCTCGATGCGATTAAGTAAGAGATATATATATATGACAATGCATCGTGATTCGGAGCGCTACCTTTAAACGTTTACCTTAATCTTGTTTATCAAGCCGCAGTGGCATTCCTTTGATAACATACAATCTTGAGATTAAATAGAATTAATTGGAATTAATTGGAAAACAAATTTTTATTATCTTGCCTATACATGCAAATGTCAAATGTAATTATAATCTCTTAATTTACATTGCTAAGTGGATTCGATGAGCAGGTTCTCATTTAAATGTCAATTAAGGTGAAATAAACTTGACAGTTTTCCCTTCACCTTTCTCATAAAAGGAAAATTCCTATACGTTTAGGAAAGAGAGTTTATGGTTGTTGACTCGCGTGTTTTTCCATATCTCCGGAAATAGGATTCTCTTGTGATTCACTCCGAATCTTCCGCGGCGAGTTGTTTGTCTGATTATTTATTTTTATCACGTAAAAATGCAGCTTTACTGTTTTACTCTTTTACGGTATCGACAGCTATGGATACACGATGGATTGTCAATGTCTATTTTTATATTCACAATCGGAATTTTTCCGAATATCCCGTTATCCGCGGTAACGCCTCTCTTTCGCGCACACGCGGGCGCTGCTGTTAACTATCGATTACATTATCCTATCTCGTTGTCCTCATTTTTAATTCGTAATTTTACGCGCGTGTCTGATACAGTTCGATGTTTCGTTTCGCGCGCGCGGACGTCAATGTTTGTGTCGGTTGACCGTGGCGCAACGTCAATGCGATTTTGCAACGTAAATGACGGTGACAATATTTACAATCGCGCGTGAAAATATATATATATATATGTGAACGGCGTCCCAACAGACTTTTTCCGCTATATCGAGCCATAATCACGCGCCAATCTTTCAAAAAATGCAATCGATGTTTCGTCACGCGTCCCATTATCGTAATTCATTAGGCGATTTATTATCGCGATATTGTTCGGCGATCGGGAGGGAGGGTGCTGCTCTTTTTGCATCAGAAAGTGATTATATTTCCTCGTGGCTGTAATCTAGATTGCCTTATCGCGACGATAAAAGCGAATTTTATGGTCGCATTTTTCTCGATCGCCGGCGTGATTGATGATTTTCCAATATTATTCCATCACGCTATTTTAAGATGATAATATCTTTCATAGAATGTATACATGTATATTGTGTATACAAATAAACGGATCGGATTTAATATTTCTATACGCCATAATAATACATAATATTAAAATCCGTTAGAAAAGATTACACAGCAGATATTACAAGAATCACTTTCAAGTTGAACTTTTAAGTTATAAATTTTTCCGAGTGTCGATAAATTAAATTTTCTAACGGTGTAAATTGAATGTCCTGGGCTGCTTGAAGCCGATAGATTTATAATACTAGCTCTTGGAATTTCATATTTCTTTCATATTTCGAGGTGTCACTTTTGACACTTGATCGACGCCCGACTTCCACTATGCAATTTGCGATGCACGGTGCAGCCGTTTCGCAAGCGGATTTAACTGTGATTCGTTGCTTTTCGATTTTTTTTATCGTTCGCTCAGGCCATTTTGTCGCGCCGTTCTACGTATTTCTCTCCCGCGATAAGCCGGCACGCGCCGCACTGTGTGTTGCAACTTGCACGCGTGAACGCGCGGCGGAAGCGAAGAGGCTGCAGATTGTCACATAAAAACTCGCAACAAAAGAGCGCAACTACTGGTACGCGAACTGTAGCTTCAATGGTCCGACAAATGAAATTAAGAAGATTAAGAAGGATTGTGCCAGTCAGCGAGGCAGGTCATCGTCAGACTCTGACTTTGACTACTTGATGCAGTATCGACTGTACGATATCTCGCTCACAGGGGCAAAAGTGCATCGATCCTTGCTTTTTCAGCGCGGCACATCTCCGATATCGACGTTTTTATTTTGGAAGTCTCGCCAGATTACGTCGACTCGTTTCTCAAAATATTCAATTTTTATTTAACTTTTATCATGGAAAAAAAATTTTTAATCTGTATTTAAAGCGCGACAAAGAACATTATCTCATTACGTAAACGGGATTGCTTGCCTCGATAAAAAATATGTCAATATAGAATGTCATTTAATATTGATCGTGTTATATAAAATGTGCGAGTATATATTAATACGTAATAAAATTATATTAATCACAAATGATCAATATTGAGAATTTTTAATAGCTTGTTAAAAACTGTGAATTGAAAATCGTTATTTGCGCTGTAAGTTTTAAAAGCGCAACTAACTAATTATCTGATATTTGAATTTCTGTTTCTGAAAGGATAAGGTTATTAAACCCATAAATTCTGCTGTAACTATATATATATAGGTATATATATAGATTTGTAACGTAATCAGAGAAATTATGAAATAAATCTTATCGTGGCTGGTTCAACGATAACGGGATCAATATGTCAAATCGTTCGGCAAGTGCATGGTGTGATCGATGAATAGATGTAGTTATGGAAAAATTATTATCAACGTGGAGATTTTTCGCGATCGAAAATCCGACATGCCAAACGACCTTTCCCTCTTCACGCTACTTCGTGGCGCGTTCGTGTTTGATATCGCGAAGCGTGGATCTATCTGCCGATCTGTATATTCGTGATAATACCCGGCGCGGATTTATTGCGTCGCGATTATAGATAATTGTTATCACCGCGTGTCAGCACGCGGTCAATAAGAAAATAATTTCCTAAACTCAGCGAAATTAGTAAAACGCGACAATCGCGTGTTATCGCGCGCGAAGAGAGGAAACGCGGAGGTGATAGCCCCACGCAATGATTAAGACGAGGCGATTAGGATACCACGAGAGCGAAAGTTCGTCTTTGCCTTTTACTCGTGTATTTCACTTGCGTATCAAAAAGGGTCGTCAATTCAGAGTGAGTAGGCAAACTGATGTGCCCTCCTCGAAGAATATTGATACGTCTTACAGAACATTAAAAAAATATTTCAAAATTCGTATGAAGTTTATCAGAAAGATGTTTATAATGTTTTTAAAAAAGTTTTCAATTTATGATATCTTTGTTTTAAGCCTGTCTCTTATACACATC